CTCTGGTGATGTAGAGGTTAACCCAGGCCCTGTAGCCCCCAGTATCACTCCTACTCCCCAGGCATTATCATTTGTTGACTTCTGTAACCGTAAAAGCTTTGGTTTCTTGCATGTTAAAATCAAAAGCCTCCTCCCTAAGTTTGAGTTATTCACAGCGTTAGCACACTCCGCCAACCCTGATGTTCTAGCAGTGTCTGAATCCTGGCTTAGGAAGGCCACCAAAAATTCAGAAATGTCCATCCCCAACTACAACATTTTCAGTCTCCATAGAACTGCCAAAGGGGGTGGGGTTGCAATCTACTGTAGAGATAGCCTGCAGAGCTCTATCATACTATCCAGGTCTGTGCCCAAACAGTTTGAGCTTCTACTTCTAAAAATCCACCTTTCCAGAAATAAGTCTCTCACTGTTGCCGCTTGCTACAGACCCCCCTCAGCCCCGAGCTGTGCCCTGGACACCATATGTGAACTGATTGCCCCCCATCTATCCTCAGAGTTCGTACTGCTTGGTGACCTAAACTGGGATATGCTTAACAGCCCAACCAACCTACAATCTAAACTAGATGCCCTCAATCTCACACAAATTATCAACGAACCTACCAGGTAAAACCCTAAATCTGTAAACATGGCCACCCTCATAGATATCATCCTGACAAATATACCCTCTAAATACACCTCCGCTGTCTTCAACCAGGATCTCAGCGATCACTGCCTTATTGCCTGCGTCCGTAATGGGTCCGCGGTCAAACGACCACCCCTCATCACTGTCAAACGCTCCCTAAAACACTTTAGCGAGCAGGCCTTTCTAATTGACCTGGCCCGGGTATACTGGATGGATATTGACCTCATTCCGTCAGTAGAGGATGCCTGGTTGTTCTTTAAAAGTGCTTTCCTCTCAATCTTAAATAAGCATGCCCCATTCAAAAAATTCAGAACTAAGAACAGATAAATAAATAAATAAATAAATATTTCACCTTTATTTAACCAGGTAAACAAGTTCTCATTTACAACTGCGACCTGGCCAAGATAAAGCAAAGCAGTGCGATAAAAACAACAACAGAGTTACATATGGGGTAAAACAAAACAAAGTCAAAAATACAACAGAAATACATATATATACAGTGTGTGCAAATGTAGCAAGTTATGGAGGTAAGGCAATAAATAGGCTATAGTGCAAAATAATTACAATTAGTATTAACACTGGAATGATAGATGTGCAAGAGATGATGTGCAAATAGAGATACTGGGGTACAAATGAGCAAAATAAATAACAATATAGGGATGAGGTAGTTGGGCGGGCTAATTTCAGATGGGCTGTGTACAGGTGCAGTGATCGGTAAGGTGCTCTGACAACTGATGCTTAAAGTTAGTGAGGGAGATAAGAGTCTCCAGCTTCAGAGATTTTTGCAATTCGTTCCAGTCATTGGCAGCAGAGAACTGGAAGGAATGGCGGCCAAAGGAGGTGTTGGCTTTGGGGATGACCAGTGAGATATACCTGCTGGAGCGCAGACTACGGGTGGGTGTTGCTATGGTGACCAATGAGCTAAGATAAGGCGGGGATTTGCCTAGCAGTGATTTATAGATGGCCTGGAGCCAGTGGGTTTGGCGACGAATATGTAGTGAGGACCAGCCAACAAGAGCGTACAGGTCACAGTGGTGGGTATTATATGGGGCTTTGGAGACAAAACGGATGGCACTGTGATAGACTACATCCAATTTGCTGAGTAGAGTGTTGGAGGCTATTTTGTAAATGACATCGCCGAAGTCAAGGATCGGTAGGATAGTCAGTTTTACGAGGGCATGTTTGGCAGCATGAGTGAAGGAGGCTTTGTTGCGAAATAGGAAACCGATTCTAGATTTAACTTTGGATTGGAGATTCTTAATGTGAGTCTGGAAGGAGAGTTTACAGTCTAACAAGACACCTAGATATTTGTAGTTGTCCACATACTCTAGGTCAGACCCGTCGAGAGTAGTGATTCTAGTCGGGTGGGCGGGTGCAAGCAGCGTTCGGTTGAAGAGCATGCATTTAGTTTTACTAGTGTTTAAGAGCAGTTGGAGGCTACTGAAGGAGTGTTGTATGGCATTGAAGCTCGTTTGGAGGTTTGTTAACACAGTGTCCAATGAAGGGCCAGATGTATACAAAATGGTGTCGTCTGCGTAGAGGTGGATCTGAGAGTCACCAGCAGCAAGAGCGACGTCATTGATATACACAGAGAAAAGAGTCGGCCCAAGAATTGAACCCTGTGGCACCCCCATAGAGACTGCCATAGGTCCAGACAACAGGCCCTCCGATTTGACACATTGAACTCTATCTGAGAAGTAGTTGGTGAACCAGGCGAGGCAGTCATTTGAGAAACCAAGGCTATTTAGTCTGCCAATAAGAATGCGGTGATTGACGGAGTCGAAAGCCTTGGCCAGGTCAATGAAAACGGCTGCACAGTACTGTCTATTATCGATCGCGGTTATAATATCATTTAGGACCTTGAGCGTGGCTGAAGTGCACCCATGACCAGCTCGGAAACCGGATTGCATAGCGGAGAAGGTACGGTGGGATTCGAAATGGTCGGTGATCTGTTTGTAAAGTCCATGGAGAATAAGAGCACCACCTCCCAACTGCCCACTGCACTGAGGCTAGGAAACACTGTCACCACCGATAAATCTACAATAATCGAGAATTTCAACAAGCATTTTGCTACGGCTGGCCATGCTTTCCACCTGGCTACCACTACCCCGGCCACCAGCTCTGCACCCTCCGCTGCAACTTGCCCAAGCCAAGTTAACAAACAGATCACCGACCATTTCGAATCCCACCGTACCTTCTCCGCTATGCAATCCGGTTTCCGAGCTGGTCATGGGTGCACCTCAGCCATGCTCAAGGTCCTAAATGATATTATAACCGCGATAGATAAAACACAGTACTGCGCAGCCGTCTTCATCGACCTGGCCAAGGCTTTCGACTCCGTCAATCACCGCATTCTTATTGGCAGACTAAATAGCCTTGGTTTCTCAAATGACTGCCTCGCCTGGTTCACCAACTACTTCTCAGATAGAGTTCAATGTGTCAAATCGGAGGGCCTGCACATTTCTGTTTGATAAAGCTATCCTTTGCTTTCGTAACTGATTGTGTATATTGGTTCCTGACTTCCCTGAAAAGTTGCATATCGCGGGGGCTGTTCGATGCTAATGCAGTACGCCACAGGATGTTTTTGTGCTTGTCAAGGGCAGTCAAGTCTGAGGAGAACCAGGGGCTAGACAATCTGGACCCTTTCTTTCTAAAACTAGCCGCCGAAATTGTCGCAACCCCTAATACCTAGGTGTCTGGTTAGACTGTAAACTCTCCTTCCAGACTCACATTAAGCATCTCCAATCAAAAGTTAGATCTAGAATCGGCTTCCTATTTCGCAACAAAGCCTCCTTCACTCATGCTGCCAAACATGTCCTCGTAAAACGGACTATCCTACCGATCCTTGACTTCGGCGATGTCATTTACAAAATAGCCTTCAACACTCTACTCAGAAAATTGGATGTAGTCTATCACAGTGCCATCCGTTTTGTCACCAAAGCCCCATATACTACCCACCATTGTGACCTGTACGCTCTTGTTGGCTGGCCCTCACTACATATTCGTCGCCAAACCCACTGGCTCCAGGTCATCTATAAATCACTGCTAGGCAAATCCCTGTCTTATCTTAGCTCACTGGTCACCATAGCAACACCCACCCGTAGTCTGCACTCCAGCAGGTATATCTCACTGGTCATCCCCAAAGCCAACACCTCCTTTGGCCGCCATTCCTTCCAGTTCTCTGCTGCTAATGACTGGAACGAACTGCAAAAATCTCTGAAGCTGGAGACTCTTATCTCCCTCACTAACTTTAAGCATCAGTTGTCAGAGCAGCTTACCGATCACTGCACCTGTACACAGCCATTCTGAAATTAGCCCACCCAACTACCTCATCCCTATATTGTTATTTATTTTGCTAATTTGCACCCCAGTATCTCTATTTGCACATCATCTTTTGCACATCTATCATTCCAGTGTTAATACGACATTGTAACTATTTTGCACTGTGGCCTATTTATTGCCTTACCTCCATAACTTACTACATTCACACACACTGTATATATATTTTCTGTTGTATTTTTGACTTTATGTTTTGTTTACCCCATATGTAACTCTGTGTTGTTGTTTTTAATCGCACTGCTTTGCTTTATCTTGGCCAGGTCGCAGTTGTAAATGAGAACTTGTTCTCAACTGGCTTACCAGGTTAAATAAAGGTGAAATAAATAAATTAATTTAAAAAAGCACAGAAAAGCATATGCTTACGTGTGTGTAAGTACACGTGTGAAAGGATCATCCTTGCATACCAAAGGGCATCACTATGCACTCGTACAGACCATCAGTAGGTGTGTAGATAGATATCCTCCAGGTGGAGTGAAGACTACAAAGTGTAAGGTGGGATATGTGTTATGGATACCAAAGGGCATTACTATAGGCGGCAGGTAGCCTAGCGGTTAGAAAATTGGGCCAGTAACCGAAAGATCGCAGGTTCGATTGTCCGAGCGGACAAAGTGAAAAATCTTTCAATGTGCCCTTGAGCAAGGCACTTAACCCTAATTTGCTCTGGGGGCGCCATACTACTATGGCTGACCCTGTACAAACAACACATTTCACTTCACCTATCCGGTGTATGTGACAATATAACTTTTTGGGGAACCGTCAGTATATGCATAGCTATTAACTAAGACAAATGAGGAGTTATAAAAATAAAAAATAAAAAAATATGCCATTTAGCAGACGCTTTTATCCAAAGCGACTTACAGTCATGCGTGCATACATTTTTACGTATGGGTGGTCCCGGGGATCGAACCCATTACCCTGGCGTTACAAGCGCCGCGCTCTACCAGCTGAGCTACAGAGGACCACGTTATGGTGGGGTACTCACAAAGTCTTTCTCCAGCTTCTCCATCTCCCCCTTATAGCTCTTCAGTCTGCTCTGGTACATGCCTCTGCTCTGGATGGGGAGCTCACGCACCTCAAGATCCATCTGCTCCATCTAGGTCCAGCAATCAACCAGTTAATTCACCAATCAATGATTGTAAAAATAACAAATAACATTATATTGGCCAAATTGGCTAGAACATAGGTATAAACTATGTGATTATAGCTGTGTAGCCTACAATTATTGTGGAAATATGTCAAAACAGATTTACAATGAAAGATTGTTGTTAAACTCAACTTAGGCTACTTACTTAACAGTAAAGTGCGCAATATCTGTTTAGTATGTAGTGATTACACTAAAGGACATTATGTAAAGTGTTGAATTTAATGTACAGTGCATGCTGAAAATATTCAGACCCCTAGACTTTTTCAAAATGTTGTTACATTACAGCTTTATTCTAAAATGGATTAAATAGTTTTTTTCCCTCATCAATCTACACACAATACCCCATAATGACAATGCAAAAACAGGGTTCTTTTATTTTTTGCTAATTTATTAAAAATAAAAAATGGAAATATTACATTTACCTAAGTATTCAGACACTTTACCCAGTACTTTGTTGAAGCACCTTTGGCAGCGATTACAGCCTTGAGTCTTCTTGGGTATGACACTTCAAGTTTGGCACACATGTATTTGGGGAGTTTCTCCCATTCTTCTCTGCAGATCCTCTCAAGCTCTGTCAGGTTGGATGGGGAGCGTCACTGCACAGCTATTTTCAGGTCGCTCCAGAGATGTTCGATCGGGTTCAAGTCCGGGCTCTGGCTGGGCCACTCAAGGACATTCAGAGACTTGTCCTGAAGCCACTCCTGCGTTGTATTGGCTGTGTGCTTAGGGTCGTTGTCCTGTTGGAAGGTGAACCTTTGCCTCAGCCTGAGGTCCTGAGCGCTCTGGAGCAGGTTTTCATCAAGGATCTCTCTGTACTTTGCTCTGTTCATCTTTCCCTGGATCCTGACTAGTCTCCCAGTAACTGCCGCTGAAAAACATCCCCACAGCATGATGTTGCCACCACCATGCTTCGCCATAGGGATGTTGCCAGGTTTCCTCCAGACGTGACGCTTGGCATTCAGTCCAAAGAGTTCAGTCTTGGTTTCATCAGACCAGAGAATCTTGTTTCTCATGGTCTGAGAGTCCTTTAGTGGGCTGTCATGTGCCTTTTACTAAAGAGTGGCTTCCGTCTGACCACTCTACCATAAAGGCCTGATTGGTGGAGTACTGCAGAGATGGTTGTCCTTCGCAGAAGGTTCTCCCATCTCCACAGAGGAACTCTGGAGCTCTGTCAGAGTGACCATCGGTTTCTTGGTCACCACCCTGACCAGGGCCCTTCTCCTCCGATTGCTCAGTTTGGCCCGGGCAGCCAGCTCTAGGAAGAGTCTTGGTGGTTCCAAACTTCTTCCATTTAAGAATGATGGAGGACACAGTGTTCTTGAGAACCTTCAATGCTGCCGAAATGTTTTGGTACCCTTCCCCAGATCTGTGCCTCGACACAATCCTGTCTCTGAGCTCTACGGACAATTCCTTCGACCTCATGACTTGGTTTTTGCTCTGACATGCACTGTCAATTGTGGGACCTTATATAGACAGGTGTGTGCCTTTCCAAATCATGTCCAATCAATTGAATTTACCACAGGTGGACTCCAATCAAGTTGTAGAAACATCTCAAGGATGATCAACAGAAACAGGATGCACCTGAGCTCAATTTCGAGTCTCATAGCAAAGGGTCTGAATTTCTTTTTTTTCTTTTTAATACATTTGCAAAAATGTCTAAAAACCTGTTTTCGCTTTGTCATTATGGGGTATTGTGTGTAGATTGATGAGGAAAATGTTTTATTTAATCCATTTTAGAATAAGGCTGTAACGTAGGAAAATGTGGAAAAAGGGAAGTGGTCTGAATAATTTCCGAATGCACTGTATATTTAGCCAGGCTAGATGTAATGAAATGATACTAAAATAGTGTAGCACACAACTTGGATTTGTAGGAGTCTGAAAAACAACAAGAGATTCTGAAGATTAAACTGAAATCTCAAGCTAGCAAAACTTCTCAACATGAGCTAATTCAGCAGCATTAACATTAATCTGTTTAGATGTTGATTTGCTGACACATTGACTGCTCTTCTTCGTGTCATTCGTCAACGATTAAAAAAGTTATGACAGAAAGGCAGTTTGGTAAATAAATAAGATTCAAACAATTTGAAAGGCCTTCATTTTAAAGAAGTGTTGAGGCCCAACAGTGTCATGTAGAGTACATTAGAGGTAGAGAGAGACAAGACTCTCTGAGGTAGATTTGGAGAAGCCTAATCAAGATGACATAATAAGACAACTATGTCTACAATTTACACGTTAGTTCACTTCCTTAAATTTTTTAACATGACGTGAACACTTCCTCCTCCAAATAATAGCTTGAATTGTGTCACGGGTGTGTCACTTAAAAGCAAATTGTCGCTAAAGTGATTACGCCATTATCGTGCTGAGCAGCATTCCACCATGTGAAGTATGCGTGTGTGTGTCATGTCACCGTTAGGATGACACAGGTGCCGTTGTCTTCATGCACCGGTGAAATTGTCTTGTTTCCTTTTCCAAATTCATTATTTTGTAAAAAAATGGGAAGAGCGGAAATTACTGATCAAAGACGTACCAACTCTCTGACTTCTTCGAGCTGTTTGTCGACATTTAGAACCAGCTGTGTCTTCTCCTCTGAAAGAGAAACAGGAGAAACATATTGATCAGTCGACAGAGGAGCAGTGCTTTATGACAACAACCCAACTCCCCCGCAACGGGGAGATTGAAAACACACACCAGAATGCATTTGAAGATATATTTACACACTCTCCGCATGCTGATCCACATTTGAAGTGTCTTATTTATCCACGTGTAAAAGGCCTTTGTTGGCTTTTATAGAGGAGCAACGAGACACCTCGTACCAACTCTAAAGGAAATGTCAGCTTTACTAGGTTGCCAGGTTTTCTAAACTCGGAGTCCCACTAAGAATGACTAAAACGCTGCTTTAAGCTCACCCAATGGCTTCGATTGCAAATCATGACTTGAAGCTCATTTGGCCATAAGAGTTCATTATGGAACGCTGTAAATGATTGCGTGAGCTCTAAATTCTGGCTGAACTTATTCTGTTATGTGTAGCAACTAGGGATGGGCATTTGAAAGAATGTTTGTGTTCGAGTAATAGTACTCTCCAATAAATGATTTTGAGTAGGCCTACTCGAGTACTCGGATCATGTGTGAAACAGGTCTGAAGGCAAACCTTTACAGGTTGTTCTAATTACTGGTTCTGATACAAAACTGAAAATGAAATTTCTCACTGCGTTTGACATAGCTACAGCGACTCAAAAAACATTCAACACATCTTAAAGTTCGACATTGTCAGTTATTATAAATGTAACCTGTAAAATAGATTTTCAGCAATTGAATGCAAATCTTGAATCGCGTACTCTAGTATTCACACTGATCCCTAGTAGCAGCAACAACAGCAGAAATGTAGTTAAATACTCCTAATATTCTCCATCCCAATTTGGACATATCATATTTTATTTTTCAAATGTAAAATTATGCTTTGACGGCCCAGAGTTGAAACCAACATCTAAGGATCATTACAAAAACCTAGCCTGCTGTGGACCAATGTTTGTTTAATAGGCCTAATTAGACATATTTTCAACAATTGACATGTAGCCGAGAGCCCGGACTACCAGAAGCTTCCAGTTCAAAAGCCAACCACAAGGCTAGCCTATCAGTAAAGGGAAATAACCGTACAAAAACCAAGGGAAGATCTTCATTGTTTGGGTCTGCATTGCCTTTTGCCAGTCAACAAATCCAATTTGAAAACCTCACAGGATACACAAGTAAATAGCCAGAGGCGATTCCCGTCGAGGAGAGGTGGTGTAGCCCTCTCCAGCATTGGCCTGGGAAAGATGATCCTGAAATATGCATGGCTATTTACTAGGAGTACCGCAGACAGACAGACGAGGAGTTTTGTAAACAGGCCACAAAAAATAAAATAAAGTTGAGCTCGGTACCTCTGCACAATATTTAATAGCCAGTGATTGACAGTCCTTCAGCTTTCCATAAACACTCTTAAGGAGAAAAAAAATGCATTTAATGTTTAATGGAATGAGACCTTGCAATACATTGTATTCTTATTCAAACCTCAGTCCCAAGTTTTTTGGAAGGTAACAAAGCAAAACAAAAACACATTATCCGTTTGATTCTCGCGTGAATGCTGAAGGCTTGGCCAAGATACTGTCAAGGACGTTTCTTCGCGTGCCACAGCCATTATCAGTGATTGTGCATATGTGACGTCGGGAAACGCAGCAACATTGGGGACAAAAGGCTTTTGTCGAAGCTATTGTCATCGTATGAAATTGAAGGCTGTCAACCGATGGGCACAATTCAGGCACTTGAGGGAGGAGAAAAGGAAATAAGAAATGTCTTCATTAGTAGGAACGGAATTGAAATTCAAGTGCAAACTGTTCTGATAGGAGCAGAGGACACTGAACAATGACTGCTGGGTATGATGGGCTTCCGCCTTTGTTCATATTCATGTGGGCTTATTTTAACATGCTGGGTGGTGGGAAACGTGGTGAAATTACACTGTGGAAGAGAAGCATTGTTTCTGTCAAGAAGCCAATTCAAACCATGACATTTCAAATCGGATGTGAATTCCCATGAGCCACAGCGTTGGAAATTAAACAAGCAATAGACTTAGCAAATATGAGCTGAGCAAAGGAAGACAATGCCAGCTGATGGATATTTTGTTTGTTGTTCAGTGGGTGAACAGGCTGTGCCCGGTGAATATGTAGACAGCCTTTGGTTTTCAAATAAAGTGTTTACTTAACTATGAGACCAGTACAGGTATATTCACAGTTATGATACATGGTCGATCCCCGGGACCACCCATACGTAAAAATGTATGCACACATGACTAAGTCGCTTTGGATAAAAGCGTCTGCTAAATGACATATTACATTATTACATATTACATGATGTTAGGCTCTCGGGCCTCTCTACAGTCTCTGTTATCCTACTTTTAGGAGAGAATTCCTAAAAGGATTCTCTTTTTTAAAAATATTTCTCCATTATCTTTTCTACATACTTTATATCTGGTTTTAGTAGTTTAAGTGTACACTAAAAACGTTTTACCATCCCAGAAATTATCCCCCGCCCACAATTTACTTGCATATAGGGAAACCAATGCAATACGTACGTAGATACATTGGCTCCGATACCATTCAGGAAAGATACGCTTTAGTTTTAAATGATTCACTGCGTCAGTTCGATGCATGAACGCATTCATTTTCCATTCTAAATTAAAATCTGATGATGATGGAGCCCATGAGTTGGGCCTCTATGAGCTGGATCTGTCTGAGCTGACTTTGTGTATGTGTATGTGTGTGTGTGTATGTGATGCATGTCTATGATGTATTTACTATGTAGGCACCTGATCGGAGCCATAAGGGAGACTAGGCATCTACCACCCCACTACCACTATCAGATTAGGAGGGGAAATGTAGTCTGTTTTTTGTCCCCTCACTCTCATTCTGAAATCACCATCACCCACTTGTTTAATTGTAATTTTTGCACATTAAGTGTTTGAGCTAGTAATGTGTAAAAAAAAAAAAAAAAAAGGTTTACAAGTTAGCTAAAACATGGCCAATGAATATATTCCTAAAATTGCGGTGCACCCCCTTTTGCCCTCAGAACAGCCTCAATTTGTCGGGGCATGGACTATGCGGTGCAGAAATCATTCCACAGGGATGCTGGCCCATGTTGACTCCAATACTTCCCACAATTGTGTAGAGTTGGCTGGATGTCCTTGGGTGGACCATTCTTGATACACACAGGAAACTGATGAGTGTGAAAAACCCAGCAGTGTTGCGGTTCTTGACACACTCAAACCGGTGCGCCTGGCACCTACTACCATACCCTGTTCAAAGGCACTTAAATATTTTGTCTTGCCCATTCACCCTCTGAATGACACACATACACAATCCGTGTCTCAATTGTCTCAAGGCTTAAAAATACTTCTTTAACCTGTCTCCTCCCCTTCATCAACACTGATTTTAGTGGATTTAACAAGTGACATCAATAAGGGATCATAGCTTTCACCTGGATTCACCTGGTCAGTCTGTCATGGAAAGAGATGTTCCTAATGTTTTGTACACTCAGTGTATAGCACAACTTTGGATTTCAACCCATCTCAAAATCTAATGTATTTGACCGTTTGGAAGTTTTTACAGAGTGATCTTCTCTTCTCCTCTTGCTTCAGCCATGCAGTGTGCCTCGCAAAAGTGATTGCTGTCCTCGTTATGAAATAGACTTTACCCTGTATATTAAAAAATTACCCCCAAAACTATTGCTGATGGTGAAGTTCAACAATGAAAATAAAATCTATTGTAAACCCCATTCAGCAGGTATAGACAGATGAGAGCTTACTTTTATTCCGATAAAACACCACTATCAACAGCGCATAGATAACAATAAGCTAACAAATTACATAGGTTGTCACTCAACTAATAAAGCCTAATATCACGCAAGCCATTTTAGCATTTGAATGCTGACAGTGCCGCGCAGATGTGCAAGATCAGGAACAGGCCGTCTACCTTGCGTTGGTCAACATGCGAAGCTGGGCAGAGTGCGCGGTTTGACTAGGCTACTGATATTGCCTGGGGTTGTTAGGCATGCAAAATGACTTGTAGATCTTTGACTGTCAACACAGTTACATGAGTTCGACACTGAAGGAGAGGATGAATCAGTTGTCACAAAATATTAGGTATTTTCGTAAAGAAGAAATAATGTAATATGAGCAACAACAGAAAATGTGAACCGGCAATTTGAAATATTTGAATCGATTTTCTGACCGATGCATGCTACATTTGGATCGGTTTGGGGTCCGCAGACCGATGCACTTGTATCTTAAGCATTTGAATTGGGGATCAATGCGTATAGGTGTTTCGTGTCATCCCTAGTAGATCTCATGCATAACTGCACTGATACCAAATGTCCTCTTGTTAGGCCCATTCACCCTCTGCCCACTTGAGTTGCCCTCGCTTTTCTTTTGGAGGGGGGCGTGCTAATCCCTGGCAGAGGACAAGCCGTCTAGGGAGGTGTAAATATCCCGTAAGAATAAGACATCCCTGCTACAAATAGACTAATCAGCTATCTGCAACAGAAGTCAGAAAATTGTTCACTTGCAAGGACACAAATACTGGACCTACATTTCAGGTTAATCTCTTCAGCTCCAGGAAGTATTTACAATAAATATTTGTGCTCTAAATAAAGAACATTAGCATACAACTATGAATAAGGGCAATTCCACGATAACAGATTGATGCTAAGACTCGTATTTTTCACTTTAAAATGTATGCAAAAGAAAAACAAATGATTGCAAAGTTAAACCACACAACTCTATACACAAGGACAACTTAATATCCACAGAACATTTTACAAAAACAAATTTACTTGAATTACAGTACAGATGCAAAGTTTGGTAACAGAATGACAGCACCAACAGCACAAACTGTCATTCTGTTACCAAACTTTGCATCTGAAATGTTCAAGTAAATGTGTTTTAGTAAAATTTTCTGTGGAAATTTGTTGTCCCCCACAATGTTATCGGGGAGTGGACTGTGGATCTGTCTCCGTCCATTAGTACGTTAGGGGGCGCTATAGTAATCAACTCTACGTACGTAAGTCCCACGCGATATTGCAGACAGCACTGGCCCAATTTTGACAAAACTTTGCTGAATGATGCGTCTTGCCATACAGATCAGGCATTTACAAAATTACACTGATTGGCCAGATGGTGGCGCTATAACAAGAGATTGAAAATGCTAACTTTTAAAGGTCACACCCCTCACCCCGTCTGACCTAAAGTCATGAAATTCAGTACATAGGTACCTCTCCTCACAAGGAACACATTTGCCTCAGGGACACATAAGGTCCGCCATGATGGATTATCCGCCATTTAGAATTTTGTAAAAAACACTTAAAAACGATACTCTTCTGGCACCGAATGATCGAGCTGCACAAAACTTGATATGTGGCATCTATGGATAAAGTTCTCTCAATGCAATATTTTCCAGACTAGTACCTAAAACAACATGGCCACTATTGACCAATAAGCATTCACGTGGGCGTGGTCTGGCACATAAATGCATATAAATCAGTCAAGGATATCGTATTGTGACTAAATTTGGTACACATGTTGCAAACACTGTCAAGACTTAACATATGCAAGAACATTCATATCAATGAAATCAGGGAGGGGACTGTGGATCTGTCTCAGACAGCACTGGCCCGATTTGGACGAAACTTGGATGAATGATGCGTCTTCGCTATAGAGATCTGTCATTTATAAAATTAGGTGGGCGCAATAGTAATTAACTGAAATGTGTTAAATCACACACGATATTCCAATTGGCCCAAGGGTGCTGCATCATTCGTGGTGGATGACATATTTACTGTTGCCTTGTTGAAACTGTATTTGATCTCTGAGAAATTAAGGTAATAGAGCTTGCCAGCTTGTAGTCATAAAAAACGGAAATGAGTTACCTCTGGTTCGTTCAGCCATCCCTATGGGGAAAGAATAGGGTTTTGGGATAAACGCCCAAAATAAGGTCTGAGGTTAACACAGGCTTAGGAGATCTTATACGTTTTGTTCTATGAGATAATACCTGTAAGTTAACATGACCTTCATGAATTATGAAGCCTTTGTGCATTTTATAAATTAGATAAATGCATTAAATTCACAAAAAGCAACCTGAACTAATGAAGATTATCTCATAGAACAAAACTTATAGGATCTCCTAAGCCTGTGTTTACCACAGAGCTTATTTTCTGCATTTATCCAAAAACCCTACAAAAACTCCATTCATATTCCCATAGGCTTTGTCCAACGAACCATGGCGGAGCTACTGCCTAAAAAGACGCCATAACTATTTATCTCTAGTGTGGTGTGGGGGGTCCGTGGGTGGCTTTTGATACTTGTATTGGATTCCTCGTCTTACTCATTGTTAGGAAGAATTATGGTCCAAATCAGATGTTAGGTACTATATTTATTGAAGATTATATTAATCCTATAAATTAAAATGGACAATTTGGGTGCAATCAATCAGCATAATTTCTCAGAGATCAAATTATATTTCAACAAAATAATGCTTTTAGGAATGCTAATCTTATCCGTTTCTAACTACAGAAACGATTTCAGAACAATCTGAGATGGTGGGGGTCGAAATCTCTTTCTTGTGCTTTTTGAGGTGGAATAACTGTAGGGAGGAGGGGCAATTTCATCTAGTTTCTTAGATGTAGGCCTACTGTAGAAGTGGAACAATGAAATGATGGATTAGGTTTACTGTACATCCAGTGCACATAAGTGGCTTGACTCAACAATTCAGTCCCACTAAAGCCTACATCTTCACAAACAAACAAGACAATCAATTTAGTTTTCAATGCAGTCCACATCATGTTCTAGATATGAATAAAGTCTAGTTTTACTTTACTATATTTAGTTTAGCTAAAACTAAATATTCGTTTAAAAGTCCAATCCAATCATGTTTAGCCTAGCTACATAATTGAAAGAAGTACCAATCCTAGGAGCAGGACAACCTATGGTCATTGCACCAGGATTCAATCTCCCTTCAGGAACATATCACCTTAAATGTAGAATTAAACTGCTGTGTACTTGTCAGCACAGCATCTGAATGCTCAAGTCCTATTGATGGCTCTTTGATAGTTAGTTAGATAGCTGACTAACTAAATAGCTAGTTGGATAGGTAACGTCGTTATTTCACTAACACAAAGCACAAAGCTAGTGGAATTGTTTTAGTTCGCTAAATATTCGGCAGTGAATATGATGACATTTGTGTAAAATATGTGTCATGTGAAACTAGCTAGCTAGCTAGCTGCATTATTAATTTGTTGACATGACAGAAGTCATTCGTTGGCAAACTAATAGAGATTAACGTGGTTTACCTCCACCTAATTTGGGAATCCTTCCAATTTTGTTGGTTATTTCTGCTGTCAGGGTTCCAAAGTCCTGTTCGTAGGCTTCAAAATTTGAAGACATAGTGAAGTTTGACTCTAAAACAGGTGTCTTTCTGGCTGAAAAGTATCTGAAGATGAAGCAAAACAACGCTTTCTGCGAAGGCGAGCCGTCACTTCCGTGTTGCGTTACAGAACATTTTACCCGGTAAGAAAGCAGCAACTGTTAGCTAATTCATTGGTTCTTCCAATGAAGTGACAAAACTTTCTCCATGCAGGGAACTGAAAAAAATATACATGTACAGAGAAATGAAAGACATCGTATTGGCTACAGTTTATGCATTAGCTACACATTTATTTATAGCTTTATCACATTGAAATAGAAGAAACCATTTGTTTTTAAGAGGATATCGCACATTTATAAATAATAAATACTTTTTCTACAATGTTAAAGAGGCATACAGATTAATAATCTCTACTAATCCCACATTTTGTTTTAAATGTATCAAAATGTGATACACAATATATACATCCCAAACTCCTATTCCAATAAACGACAGCAGAGGGAGCTGTGCGTCTTTTGAAATGCCACATTCCCCGGCTCAATTTTGAAACGTCACTTCTCTGCGACTTGCAGCTGCAACCAGAACAAAATATGTAAACGTCCCTTTTAATCCACTTTAATCGTTGAATTAACTATTCTATAGAGACGTATGATGTATATAATGTTGTTGTTATAGGAAATGCAGTTGACTCGAGAGTATATTTCACCGATGTGTCGTTGAATTAGCAAAATAGAGGGTAGCTAGATAAACGCTAGTTGTATGGGCAGGTCAGCCAATGAAAAACACATACAAATATATGTTTTATTGTCACATACACCGGACAGGTGCAGTGAAATGTGTTGTTTTTACAGGGTCATCCATAGTAGTATGGCGCCCCTGGAGCAAATTAGGGTTAAATGCCTTGCTCAAGGGTACAGACATATTTTATTTATTGTTTGTTCGGAAATTCGAACCAGTGTCTACAAATTACCTACATAAGTAGCTAGTTTTTCCCGCCATGTGTCCCTGAATTATCAGCTGACCGACCTTCAGCTAGTTAGATAACGTTACAGCACTGAAATGATCTAGCCAACAGGATAGTTTGGAAAATAGAGATATGTCCCTTCGAGTTTCACTAACAGTCTCTCTAACATATTGCATCACAGACTGGAATTGTAGCGAAAGTTTGAATAGTTTCTACTTGTCCTCTAGCTAGGTATAGACAGACAGCGTTAGTGACAAGTCATTCTACTATCAATCTACAGGGCGCCTTCTCCAGTGAGGCGAAAGGAGCATATGGAGGACAAGGCAAAAGAGCGAGGGAAGGAGAAAACGGGTGCCACCAAAGAGGGAGCTGAGAAGGACAGGGGCAGGGAGAAGGGACGCAAACGACGTAGCTCAACTGGGAGCAGCAGGTCAGAAACAATGTGTGACATCTCTCTTGCTCTCGCTATACCCTTACCATAGCATCTCTGTTTTTATCAGACGACTTCTCTCAGCAGTCACTGCTTTCTGATGGCCCACAGTAAGCCCCTCTCCCGGTCTTCACTCGGGTCTAAAGTAAGCCCCTCTCCCGGTCTTCACTCGGGTCTAAAGTAAGCCCCTCTCCCGGTCTTCACTCGGGTCTAAAGTAAGCCCCTCTCCCGGTCTTCACTCGGGTCTAAAGTAAGCCCCTCTCCCGGTCTTCACTCAGGTCCAGCTCCAGTAGCAGCTCCAGTTCCGGTTCTTCCAGCGGCTCCAGTTCCTCCTCTGCCTCCAGCCGCTCCGGGTCTTCCAGCTCCCGATCCTCTAGCTCATCCAGCTCCTCAGGGTCGCCCAGCCCCAGTCGCCGCCGCCATGACAACCACCGACGCTCACGGTCCAAGTATGTGTAACCTGTAAAGCAGTGGTCTCCACTCTCCTATCCCAGCTCTGAGTTAGTGCGTGCAGGCTTTTGTTCCAGACCAGCACTTAATACTTTCAGTTCACCTAATAGTTTAACATTTAAGACATTCAGTAGTTGTTTCAGGTATGTTAGGGCTGGGCTGACAAAAAAGCCTGCATGCTCCGTAACTCTGCTGGACCAGGGTTGGTGGTCACTCCTAAAGCTAATCCAAAGACTGGATTAAGGAGAGGGATCTGTGAGCTTGGAAGTGTGACATATTTTGTTGAGTGAAGGAATAAAGAGTAAAACCTCTTCCTGTAGATCCAAGTCGTCGGTGAAAAAGGATGACAAGGAGAGGCGTAAGAGGAGCCCGAGCCCCCGACCAACCAAGGTGTTCCTGGGCCGCCTCACCAGAAATGTCGTCAAGGTGAGTCAAAATGACTGCCCAGTCTTCAAGTGTACGTGAATACAGTGTATGTGCACATCAATGGGATTCCATATAGCCTAATTGAATGCATTTTTTGTGTCAAGCTGCAGACTGTATGTTGAAGGCTTGTTGGAGTAGGGGGCAATATCTCAGAGGTTGGGCTTTGACTAAAGTCTCTGCTCTTTTCAGGAACACATCCAGGAGATTTTCAGCACCTATGGCAAGATCAAGATGATTGAAATGCCTGTGGATAGGCTCCGCCCACACCTGTCGAAGGGCTACGCCTACGTGGAGTTTGAGAATGCCGATGAGGCCGAGAAGGCTCTCAAACACATGGATGGAGGTTGGTGGAGACCAATGGTTCTGGGTATTTTACATTTTAGTCATTTAGCAGACGCTCTTATCCAGAGCGACTTACAGTAGTGAGTTCATCATTATTTTAATTTTTTTCATACTGGTCCCCCGTGGGAAACGAACCCACAACCCTGGCGTTGCAAACACCATGCTCTACCAACTGAGCTACACGGGTATAAATGCAGTTAGCATCTCTAGTTTGAATGCATTGTAATAGTCAACTCTACAGCACTCTACTCTATTGAACTCTCTGTCCATAACCTATCCTCAGAGTTTTTACTTGAATCATACAATTAGAACATCATTTAAAAATGTACCTCTATTTGTCCTCTATGGTGTCTGCAGGTCAGATTGACGGACAGGAGATCACAGCCACTGGCGTGCTAGCTCCCAGGGTGATACGCCCGCCCCCTCGCAGGCCCTCCCCCCCTCGCAGGATGCCCCCACCACCCCCCATGTGGCGACGCACCCCGCCACGCCTGAGGAGAAGGTCAGTCTCCTACAGTGTTAATGTCAGTGTGTGTGTGTGGATGTTTGTCCGTCCACAATAATTACTTGTTTCGCAGTACATTTGACAAAGATGTACTTTTTTTCCTGTTTTATTATGGTAACAAAATCAAGAATCTTACGTCTAACATCTGTGTCCTATCATTAGATTGGATGGAGGGATTTTTGCAGTTTTTCCTCTGTTCGGAATCCCTGATTACATAATGAATGGCAGATGAGCATGTATCCCCTCAGGTGTAAAGTTAAAGCCCATTATCATCCCCCTATTCCTGACCTTTGTTTTCATCACCGCCTGGTATGGCAACTGCTCAGCCTCCGACCGCAAGGCACTACAGAGGGTAGTGCGTACGGCCCAGTACATCACTGGGGCCAAGCTTCCTGCCATCCAGGATCTCTAAACCAGGCGGAGTCAGAGGAAGGTCCTAAAAATTGTCAAAGACTCCAGCCACCCTAGTCATAGACTGTTCTCTCTGCTACCGCACGGCAAGCGGTACCGGAGCGCAAAGTCTAGGTCCAAGACTTCTTAACAGCTTCTACCCCCCAAGCCATAAGACTCCTGAACAACTAATCATGGCTACCCGGAATATTTGCATTGCCCCCCCGCCCCCTCTTTTACGCTGCTGCTACTCTGTTTATTATCGACAGAAGTTTACATACACTTAGGTTGGAGTCATTAAAACTTGTTTTTCAATCACTCCACAAATTTCTTGTTACCAAACTATAGTTTTGGCAAGTCGGTTAGGACATCTACTTTGTGCATGACACAAGTAATTTTTTCAACAATTGTTTACAGACAGAATATTTCACTTATAATTCACTGTATCACAATTCCAGTGGGTCAGAAGTTTACATTCACTAAGTTGACTGTGCCTTTAAACAGCTTGGAAAATTCCAGAAAATGATGTCATGCTTTAGAAGCTTCTGATAGGCTAATTGACATAATTTGAGTCAATTTGAGGTGTACCTGTGGATGTACACTGCTCAAAAAAATAAAGGGAACACTAAAATAACACATCCTAGATCTGAATGAATGAAATAATCTTATTAAATACTTTTTTCTTTACATAGTTGAATGTGCTGACAACAAAATCACACAAAAATGATCAATGGAAATCAAATGTATCAACCCATGGAGGTCTGGATTTGGAGTCACCCTCAAAATTAAAGTGGAAAACCACACTACAGGCTGATCCAACTTTGATGTAATGTCCTTAAAACAAGTCAAAATGAGGCTCAGTAGTGTGTGTGGCCTCCACGTGCCTGTATGACCTCCCTACAACGCCTGGGCATGCTCCTGATGAGGTGGCGGATGGTCTCCTGAGGGATCTCCTCCCAGACCTGGACTAAAGCATCCGCCAACTCCTGGACAGTCTGTGGTGCAATGTGGCGTTGGTGGATGGAGCGAGACATGATGTCCCAGATGTGCTCAATTGGATTCAGGTCTGGGGAACGGGCGGGCCAGTCCATAGCATCAATGCCTTCCTCTTGCAGGAACTGCTGACACACTCCAGCCACATGAGGTCTAGCATTGTCTTGCATTAAGAGGAACCCAGGGCCAACCGCACCAGCATATGGTCTCACAAGGGGTCTGAGGATCTCATCTCGGTACCTAATGGCAGTCAGGCTACCTCTGGCGCGGCCCCCCAAAGAAATGCCACCCCACACCATGACTGACCCACCGCCAAACCGGTCATGCTGGAGGATGTTGCAGGCAGCAGAACGTTCTCTACGGCGTCTCCAGACTCTGTCACGTCTGTCACATGTGCTCAGTGTGAACCTGCTTTCATCTGTGAAGAGCACAGGGCGCCAGTGGCGAATTAGCCAATCTTGTTCTCTGGCAAATGCCAAACGTCCTTGCACGGTGTTGGGCTGTAAGCACAACCCCCACCTGTGGACGTCGGGCCCTCATACCACCCTCATGGAGTCTGTTTCTGACCGTTTGAGCAGACACATGCACATTTGTGGCCTGCTGGAGGTCATTTTGCAGGGCTCTGGCAGTGCTCCTCCTGCTCCTTCTTGCACAAAGGTGGAGGTAGCAGTCCTGCTGCTGGGTTGTTGCCCTCCTACGGCCTCCTCCACGTCTCCTGATGTACTGGCCTGTCTCCTGGTAGCGCCTCCATGCTCTGGACACTACGCTGACAGACACAGCAAACCTTCTTGCCACAGCTCGCATTGATGTGCCATCCTGAATGAGCTGCACTACCTGAGCCACTTGTGTGGGTTGTAGACTCCGTCTCATGCTACCACTAGAGTGAAAGCACCCCCAGCATTCAAAAGTGACCAAAACATCAGCCAGGAAGCATAGGAACTGAGAAGTGGTCTGTGGTCACCACCTGCAAACCAGTCCTTTATTGGGGGTGTCTTGCTAATTGCCTATAATTTCCACCTGTTGTCTATTCCATTTGCACAACAGCATGTGAAATTTGTCAATCAGTGTTGCTTCCTAAGTGGACAGTTTGATTTCACAGAAGTGTGATTGACTTGGAGTCACATTGTGTTGTTTAAGTGTTCCCTTAATTTTTTTGAGCAGTGTATTTCAAGGCCTACCTTCAAACTCAGTGCCTCTTTGCTAGACATCATGGGAAAATCAAAAGAAATCAGCTAAGACCTCAGAAAAAAAATGGTAGACCTCCACAAGTCTGGTTAATCCTTGGGAGCAATTTTCAAACGCCTGAAGGTACCACGTTCATCTGTACAAACAATAGTACGCAAGTATAAACACCATGGGACCACGCAGCCGTCATACCGCTCAGGAAGGAGACGCGTTCTGTCTACTAGAGATGGTGCGAAAAGTGCAAATCATTCCCAGAACAGCAAAGGACCTTGTGAAGATGCTGGAGGAAACAGGTACAAAAGTATCTATATCCACAGTAAAACGAGTCCTATATCGACATAAAAAAGCCAGACTACGGTTAGCAACTGAACATGGGGACAAAGATCGTACTGTTTGGAGAAATGTCCTCTGGTCTGATGAAACAAAAATAGAACCGTTTGGCCATATTGACCATCGTTATGTTTGGAGGAAAAAGGGGGATGCTTGCAAGCCGAAGAACAGCATCCCAACCGTGAAGCACGGGGGTGGCAGCATCATGCTGTGGGGGTGCTTTGCTGCAGGAGGGACTGGTGCACTTCATAAAATAGATGGCATCATGAGGAAGGAAAATGATGTGGATATATTGAAGCAACATCTCAAGACATCAGTCAGGAAGTTAAAGCTTGGTCGCAAAATGGCTTAAGCATACTTCCAAAGTTGTGGCAAAATGGCTTAAGGACAACAAAGTAAAGGTATTGGAGTGGCCATCACAAAGCCCTGACCTCAAACCTATAGAAAATATGTGGGCAGAATTGAAAAGGCGTGTGCGAGCAAGGAGGCATACAAACCTGACTCAGTTACACCAGCTCTGTCAGGAAGAATGGGCCAAAATTCACCCAACTTATTGTGGGAAGCTTGTGGAAGGCTACCCGAAACGTTTCACCCAAGTTAAAGAATGTAAAAGCAATGCTACCAAATACTAATTGAGTGTATGTAAACTTCTGACCCACTGGGGATGTGATGAAGGAAAGAAAAGCTGAAATAAATCATTCTCTCTACTATTTTTCTGACATTTCACATTCTTCAAATAAAGTGGTGATCCTAACTGACCTAAAACAGGGAATTTTGTACTAGGATTAAATGTCAGGAATTGTGAAAAACTGAGTTTAAATGTATTTGGCTAAGGTGTATGTAAACTTCCGACTTCAACTGTATGCAGTCACTTTAACTCTACCCACATGTACATATTACCTCAATTACCTCGACTAACCGGTGCCCCCGCACATTTACTCTGTACCGGTACCCCCTGTATATAGCCTCCCTACTGTTATTTTATTTTACTGCTGCTCTTTTAATTATTTTTTACTTTTTACTTATCTATTTTTTACTTAACACTTTTATTCTTAAATGCATTGTTGGTTAAGGTCTTGTAAGTAAGCATTTCACGGTAAGGTTTACACCTGTTGTATTTGGCACATGTGGCAAATAAAATTTGATTTGATCCTCCTCTCTCCGTTTCCCGAAGGTCTCGATCACCACGGAGACGATCTCCGGTTCGCCGCAGGACTCGTTCGCGCTCCCCCGGTCGCAGACGCCACCGCTCACGCTCCAGCTCCAACTCCTCCCGGTAGAGCTGCCTGAAACCTCTGACCTCACATCTACTCTCCCCCCTCCCTCCTATCCCTATCCCACCTTCCCGTTCTCCACTGTAACAGTTTGGGTGTATCAAAAGTTGTACTCCACTTTCTTCCCTCCATGTTCACTGATCTCACAGGACATTACAGGTATAAGCATGACAGCCTTTCTCTCGCCATAGTGTATTGTTATTGGTCTATAAGCATAATGTTGAATGCTAGGCTCAATCTGAGGCAAGCTAGCACTGTGTCAAGAGGAGTGAAATGAACCCTGCTCTCAAGCTGGGGCTTTTTGTACTTAACAGCTGGGTTGTGGTTGACACATTGTGTTTACAGAATTCTAATTTTTGTAGAACTTTGTTTTTTGTTTTAATATGCAACTATTAAAACTCTTTAGTTGAGCCAGCTTTACATGTGCTGCCTGATGTTTTAATAAAGTTCATGAGTCTTGAACAATTTGACTTGTGTTCGTCAGACTCAATCACCCCAAACTACAACATTCCATAGTGCTTCGGGTAGTTAGTAAGGCAATTTTCTACACTTGATGAAAGCCTCAAAGCATGTTACCTCATTCATTATGCATAAGTCTAGGCTAGCTAGACTGAGGGAAGATATTTTGTGTACCATGTGCATGCAAGTGTGAAACACTACCTCTGGTGAGAACTGTAAGCCACCTCAAATAATTTATTTACTGTCAATCTATATCCAACGTCAAACCCACACAAAACAGAAGGTGGTTAATTTACCAAAATATTTATACGAAGCTTGAAACACCGTCCACAATATTACATTTTCACTATATATATACACACACACACACACACACACAGTGGGGGAAAAAAGTATTTAGTCAGCCACCAATTGTGCAAGTTCTCCCACTTAAAAAGATGAGGCCTGTAATTTTCATCATAGGTACACGTCAACTATGACAGACAAAATGAGAAAAAAAAGAGAAAATCACATTATAGGATTTTTAATGAATTTATTTGCAAATTATGGTGGAAAATAAGTATTTGGTCAATAACAAAAGTTTCTCAATACTTTGTTATATACCCTTTGTTGGCAATGACACAGGTCAAACGTTTTCTGTAAGTCTTCACAAGGTTTTCACACACTTGCTGGTATTTTGGCCCATTCCTCCATGCAGATCTCCTCTAGAGCAGTGATGTTTTGGGGCTGTCGCTGGGCAACACAGACTTTCAACTCCCTCCAAAGACTTTCTATGGGGTTGAGATCTGGAGACTGGCTAGGCCACTCCAGGACCTTGAAATGCTTCTTACGAAGCCACTCCTTCGTTGCCCGGGCGGTGTGTTTGGGATCATTGTCATGCTGAAAGACCTAGCCACGTTTCATCTTCAATGCCCTTGCTGATGGAAGGAGGTTTTCACTCAAAATCTCACGATACATGGCCCCATTCATTCTTTCCTTTACACGGATCAGTCGTCCTGGTCCCTTTGCAGAAAAACAGCCCCAAAGCATGATGTTTCCACCCCCATGCTTCACAGTAGGTATGGTGTTCTTTGGATGCAACTCAGCATTCTTTGTCCTCCAAACACGACGAGTTTAGTTTTTACCAAAAAGTTATATTTTGGTTTCATCTGACCATATGACATTCTCCCAATCCTCTTCTGGATCATCCAAATGCACTCTAGCAAACTTCAGACGGGCCTGGACATGTACTGGCTTAAGCAGGGGGACACATCTGGCACTGCAGGATTTGAGTCCCTGGCGGCGTAGTGTGTTACTGATGGTAGGCTTTGTTACTTTGGTCCCAGCTCTCTGCAGGTCATTCACTAGGTCCCCCCGTGTGGTTCTGGGATTTTTCCTCACCGTTCTTGTGATCATTTTGACCCCACGGGGTGAGATCTTGCGTGGAGCCCCAGATCGAGGGAGATTATCAGTGGTCTTGTATGTCTTCCATTTCCTAATAATTGCTCCCACAGTTGATTTCATCAAACCAAGCTGCTTACCTATTGCAGATTCAGTCTTCCCAGCCTGGTGCAGGTCTACAATTTTGTTTCTGGTGTCCTTTGACAGCTCTTTGGTCTTGGCCATAGTGGAGTTTTGGAGTGTGACTGTTTGAGGTTGTGGACAGGTGTCTTTTATACTGATAACAAGTTCAAACAGGTGCCATTAATACAGGTAACGAGTGGAGGTCAGAGAAGCCTCTTAAAGAAGAAGTTACAGGTCTGTGAGAGCCAGAAATCTTGCTTGTTTGTAGGTGACCAAATACTTTTTTTCCACCATAATTTGCAAATAAATTAATTAAAAATCCTACAATGTGATTTTCTGGATTTTTTTTTCTCAATTTGTCTGTCATAGTTGACGTGTACCTATGATGAAAATTACAGGCCTCTCATCTTTTTAAGTGGGAGAACTTGCACAATTGGTGGCTGACTAAATACTTTTTTTCCCCACTGTATATATATATACACACGGAGAGGAAGAGGGAAACTAAATGAATGTCTAGTATATCACTCCAGCATGACAGTATCCATCTGTATAGGAAGTGAAGTTCAGGGTTTGGCCTCCTTGTCCTTCTGGCTGGGTTTGTCCATCAGGTCTTTGAACTCTAGCTTCTCCAGAGGTTCCTTGGCCATCAGCTGACTGAAATAGCAGAGGATAGTTTCACATTGTTGATGAGATCAGTCATGTCGTGTATATATCTAGTCATCTCATTTTCAACAGGAATTAAGTACAGCGCCACACTCACTTATCCATCCGGCATTCAAGGTAGTCCTTCGACACATGGAGTTATCATAGCTGCTGTCTTTCAAGCGCTAAATGGCTTATTATTATTATTATTATTATTATAAATTCATTTTTATTTACATTTTAGTCATTTAGCAGACGCTCTTATCCAAAGCGACCTGCAGTTAGTGAGTGCATACATTTTTCATACTGTATTTGAATGCTTTACAGTCTCCAGCAATGACAAACAGAAAAGAGATGCAATGTTGCATTGAATTTCAAACACTAGACAACTACAGGGAAAGCAAAAGCAGTTGAACTGTCATTCATTCCAGTACACCTGTCATTTCACAGATCTCATACACATGAGCTCAAACGCCCCTTTCCCTTGCATTTGAGAAGCAACCAGATGCAGCTGGAAACTACAGAAGCTATGTGGAGCTGCGCAGTTGCTGGGTTGTCACTAGTTACCACAGTAAAATTGGCTATATCGAAAAAATTATATGAAAACAAAAATTAATTTAAGGTTAGGCATAAGGTTAGCAGCGTGGTTAAGGTTTAAAAAAAATCAGATTTTAAGAAGATACATTTTAGATATAGGTGGGGTTTAGCCATAATTATGACAGTGACGACCCAGTTGCTGCGCACGTCACGCTGCTATTTCTGGCTAAATATACATTTTGAATGTATGATTCAACTTCCGTATGTTTGTACAATTTGAAGTTATTAAAATAATAAGTACAAATAAATAAAAAAGCTATTGCTTGAACCAACGAGTCTGTTGCTCAACCAGTAGTGGTTTATTTTTTTTTACCGAAATGATCCAAAGTGCACGGGGCCGAAAATACTTACTGCTAAAGTTCATACTATAGCGGTCAAAGCGATTGTTTTTGCGAGAGACAAAATATATATATATACCTTCACCAATATGTCATGCAAACTGTGTATATGAAGCGCCGCATAGTTCTGACGTAAACAAACGGTTTGAGCTAGACGTGAATAATCAACCCATAGATAACATCGATTACGTATTCGACAATCTACTAACTTTTAAAGAGACAGAAACAAAGTTCAGAAATTCGGTGACAGAAATAAGTAAAAGTACGAGCCAGCTACAGTCTGCTATCAAATATTTGCAAGTGAAATAGTTTATTTTGTTTAAGGTGCAAAAAACAGTCCTTATAAAAACGTCTAAAATATGTTGGCTGTCAGTGTCAGAAAGAAAAATTACACAGGTAGTAAGACATTGTTTCATGATCGTCATACCACTGGAGGTCTCACTGCAACTGCAGAAGGATCAGTCTGGGGGAAAAGGAGGGGATGACAGACTTGAGATAATGCTGTTAGCAAGACTTCGTAGCCTAATAGAGCTGTAGTCAGAAGAGAGAGACTTGCCAAACCTTCAAATCATCACCTCAGCCAAGCGGATTTACCGTAGGCTATTAATTATTATTTTTTGGTCCAATCCAGAAGCATTTTTTCGCATTTCGAGTAAAGTACAAGGTCACAATTTGATTTTTGCTTTATCCTAGTTAACGTGCTTTGTATTTAAGTATTTCGGATTGGGTGGAGATCAAACGGTGACTATGGCCTCGGAGTCAGAGAAGAATAAACGGCTCTTGCTAGATGTCCTGACCAGACCTGGAAACGATGCATGTGCGGATTGTGGCAATGCAGGTAGGAAACGAACTGTTAATAAAAGGAGCGCCAAATCTTTTACGGCACCCTATGCATGTGCTCATGAGCGACGCGCGATTGTCCTAGTAGAGAATTCACCTGCCATTGAATCTTGAATAGCCTATTGTTTTCTGTTACCATTGTCAATGTGACAGCTTGTCAGTCAGTGCTCTCCTTATCAAATGTCTATATTTTATTTAACAGCAGTAGGCCTAATTCTAGTGCACTTTAAAAACAAAAGGTGTGTAAACAGAAAATAATATGAATTGCTCTCGAGACACACCTTATATTAGATTGGCAGCCAGCGCCTACTGAGGAGCTGGACTATGGAACTTGTAAGACTGTAGGCTATAGGGACAACTGGCAAATGTATTGAGACATGCAGACCCGGTAAACAAAAGTCCTATACTTCACTGAATACCTTCCATCACGTGGTTAAATTGATTACATGTGTGGTGTTGTTGAGTCATCCCTGTCTTGTTTGTCACCTGTTATTGCCGTTTGGAGTGTTTGTGGTGGCTAAGAGCGTCTGCTAAATGATGTAAATGTAAATGTAGTAGTCATTGTGTGACATCAATATAAGTCGCACTGGATAAGAGCATCTGCTAAATGACTAAAATGTAAAAGCCTCAGTGTGTCTCTGTGTGTGTGTGCTTCAGTGCTAGTGTTTGGGGTGTGTGTAATGGGTGTCACTCAGTCTTGTCTGTCAGCATGCACCAACTTCTTGTTAGTTCATTTTCATATTGCGGATGGTCATTTCAATTGGGTTTTACAGTAACTATTGTCACCTCGCTCCCACGGCACCTCACCACTACTTCTGCTTTATAGGACTTCCTCCCCTCTTCCCTTTCTCATCTCACAGTGATAAAAGTGAGCTGGTGGGGAGGTTCCATGATGGGACTGATGCCCAGTGCTGGAGCTCTGGTGGGGAGGTTCCATGATGAGACTGATGCCCAGTACTGGAGCTCTGGTGGGGAGGTTCCAGGATGGGACTGATGCCCAGTGCTGGAGCTCTGGTGGGGAGGTTCCAGGATGGGACTGATGCCCAGTGCTGGAGCTCTGGTGGGGAGGTTCCAGGATGGGACTGATGCCCAGTACTGGAGCTCTGGTGGGGAGGTTCCAGGATGGGACTGATGCCCAGTGCTGGAGCTCTGTCCACCCAGGATTTCTTGGCAGTGGGCACCTATGTTTGGTAGTGCCACCATGTCTATAGGTCGCATGAGGAATGATCATAAACACGTACTTTCACTACTGGCAGTCTGTGCTGCATTTCTCCATTACGACTTTGTGATGCAGATGTCAAATAACGCATATAGATAGTAAGTCTCACCTCGGAAGCATTCACTCCTTTATGACTAATGTGTTTGTCGTGGTGATAAACGTTTGTTTCTCACTTCAGGTTTTCATTATAGTTGAAAATGTGTGTTCAAATAAATATTTGACAACCACAGATCAAAATAAGTGTTTTGTTCAATGAGGAAGTAGTGTATTTAATTGGAAAAGGGCTTACCAAGAAAAACTTCCAAAATGACTAATTCGACGTATAACTAATTCGACGTAGAAAGAGGTTGGAGCACTCAACAACAAAAAAAAAGCAGAGATGTATTTATTTTAGCTCACTTTAATCCATATAGTGTGTTTCACTGTTTTATGCAGTGTAATTTACACCAGTGATGTATCACTGCCAAAGGAATAGTCGTCTGCTCTCACACATTGGTGTCATACAGTATTATGCCAATGTTCAGAATGTCTCCCCTGCGTGGTCCTAGTGATATAAACCGAGGCCAGATATTTCATCCCCTAGACTAGTAGTTCAATTTACAATTAGTAAATTGGGGCCTCCTGTAGCTCAGTTGGTAGAGCATGGCGCTTGCAACGCCAGGGTTGTGGGTTCGTTTCCCACAGGGGGCCAGTATGAATAATGTATGCACTCACTAACTGTATGTCGCTCTGGATAAGAGCGTCTGCTAAATGACTAAAATGTAAAAATGTAAGTAGAGTAATCTGATCCTAGATCTGTAGTTAAAGGCTACTTCTGCCTCAGTGTGTTTCTGAATGTATTGTACACTGAACAAAAATATAAACGCAACATGTGAAGTGTTGGTCCCATGTTTCATGTGCTGAAATAAAAGATCCCAGAAATGTTCCATACACACAAAAAAACACATTTATCTCAAATTTGTTTACATGCCTGTTAGTGAGCATGTATCTTTTGCCAAGATAATCCATCCACCTGACAGGTGTGGCATTTCAAGAAGCTAATTAAACAGCATGATCATTACACAGGTGCACCTTGTGCTGGGGACAATAAAAAGCCACTCTAAAATGTGCAGTTTTGTCATGCAATACAATGCCACAGATGTCTCAAGTTGAGGGAGAGTGCAATTGGCATGCAGACTGCAGGAATGTCCACCAGAGCTGTTGCCAGATAATTTAATGTTCATTTCTCTACCATAAGCTACCTCCAACGTCGTTTTAGAGAATTTGGCAGTATGTCCAACTGGCCTCACAACCGCAGACCATGTGTAACCACGCCAGCCCATGACCTCCACATCCAGCTTCTTCACCTGCGGGATCATCTGAGACCAGCCACCCGGACAGCTGATAGAACTGTGGGTCTGCACAACCAAATAATTTCTGCACAAACTGTCAGAAACCGTTTCGGTGAAGCTCATCTGCATGCTCGTCGTCCTCACCAGGGTCTTGACCTGACTGCAGTTTGGCATCGTAACTGACTTAAGTGGGCAAATACTCACCTTCGATGGCTACTGGCACGCTGGAGAAGTGTGCTCTTCACGGATGAATCTCGGTTTCAACTGTACCCTCCAAAGATTTTCTATGGGGTTGAGATCTGGAGACTGGCTAGGCCACTCCAGGACCTTGAAATGCTTCTTACGAAGCCACTCCTTCGTTGCCCGGGCGGTGTGTTTGGGATCATTGTCATGCTGAAAGACCCAGCCACGTTTCATCTTCAATGCCCTTACTGATGGAAGGAGGTTTTCACTCAAAATCTCACGATACATGGCCCCATTCATTCTTTCCTTTACACGGATCAGTCGTCCTGGTCCCTTTGCAGAAAAACAGCCCCAAAGCATGATGTTTCCACCCCCATGCTTCACAGTAGGTATGGTGTTCTTTGGATGCAACTCAGCATTCTTTGTCCTCCAAACACGACGAGTTGAGTTTTTACCAAAAAGCTCTATTTTGGTTTCATCTGACCATATGACATTCTCCCAATCCTCTTCTGGATCATCCAAATGCTTTCTAGCAAACTTCAGACGGGTCTGGACATGTACTGGCTTAAGCAGGGGGACACATCTGGCACTGCAGGATTTGAGTCCCTGGCGGCGTAGTGTGTTACTGATGGTAGGCTTTGTTACTTTGGTCCCAGCTCTCTGCAGGTCATTCACTAGGTCCCCCCGTGTGGTTCTGGGATTTTTGCTCACCGTTCTTGTGATCATTTTGACCCCACGGGGTGAGATCTTGCGTGGAGATCTTGCGTCTTGGCCATAGTGGAGTTTGGAGTGTGACTGTTTGAGGTTGTGGACAGGTGTCTTTTATACTGATAACAAGTTCAAACAGGTGCCATTAATACAGGTAACGAGTGGAGGACAGAGGAGCCTCTTAAAGAAGAAGTTACAGGTCTGTGAGAGCCAGAAATCATGCTTGTTTGTAGGTGACCAAATACTTATTTTCCACCATAATTTGCAAATAAATTCATAAAAAATCCTACAATGTGATTTTCTGGAATTTTTTTTCTCAATTTGTCTGTCATAGTTGACGTGTACCTATGATGAAAATTACAGGCCTCTCTCATCTTTTTAAGTGGGAGAACTTGTACAATTGGAGGCTGACTAAATACTTTTTTCCCCCACTGTATTCAATGGTAGTGAAGTCTTGATTCTGAGGAGAGGAGTGGCGCAGCGGTCAACTCTGTCCACCTTGACCCAGACTGTGGCTTTCTCCAGTTGTTCAATGGCTTGGTGGTCTTGCTTTGACCGGATTGCTACCTTCTCACTCTTCTGAGGGACCACATTGAGTTGCCAAAGCCTTTCTATATGTCAGAGTTTCTCAGTAGTTGGGGAACTGAGGGATGTAAAGAGGAACTGGTCAGTATTGGGAGTCTCAATGTCTTTAGCTAGACCCTGGAGTGTCCATCCTAGTAGGGGTTTGATGACTGCAGGTACTCCAGGGGGGCCTAGTCTTACTGGGACGATTGGGGCAATGAGATGAGTGTGGTTGGCACCGATGAGTAGCAGGGGGGAGGCATGAGTGATGGGAGTTAGAGGTAGTCCTCAACGATGTTGGTACCTTCTCTTGAGGGATGCGGTCGGTTGGTTCTTTTTTGGCAAGGGCAAGCAGCTCTACTCTGAAGGCATCTCTTATTTGGAAAGGCTGTCCTGGATGTGAGGCCAAGGTTAGCTCGAATGATACCGTGGAGCCCTGAAGGGTTTCGACCTCTTGTCTCACGCTCCGCAGTGTTAGTTCTTCAGCCTCACCCTGTAGCTGGAGATGGCAGGCAGATGGTTGTAGGAGAATGATCCGAGAGAACCAATCATCGAGGATTGCATAGGTGTCAAGGGATCTTTCTTTGTTGTGGAGGGTTACCTTGACTAGTTTAAGGAGAACTCTGTTGCTGGTACTGGGTCGGTCAAGGTACAGGGTCTATACAGGGGAGTTGACCACTTGCTTGGACACTGATTGACCTTGCATAGAATTTGTAGGTGTTTGGTAGGGATGGTTGGATCGGAGGCACCATACTTTGCAGATAGGTTGGGGGCACTACAGGCTGAGTATCGGCGGGAGGAAGCTTTGCTGGGGCCGGTTGGTGAGTCTGGGCCGGAGCCTGCTGAGGAGGCCGGAGTGGAGCCTGCTGAGGAGGCCAGGGTGGAGCCTGCTGTGCTGAGGAGGCCGGAGTGGAGCCTGCTGTGCTGAGGAGGCCGGAGTGGAGCCTGCTGTGCTGAGGAGGCCGGAGTGGAGCCTGCTGTGCTGAGGAGGCCAGAGTGGAGCCTGTTGTGCTGAGGAGGCCGGAGTGGAGCCTGAAGCTGGAACTATTTTAACCACTGCCTCTGTATCTGCCTTAATGGATTGTTGCTCCCAGATTCTGTTGGCTTGTAAGGTCGGTAGGTAGGGTTAGGAAGGATGTGGTGGTGTTGGAGGGAGATAGAGAAAATACATATCAGGAGCAAATCAACATAAAAGTGCACAAACTAAGAAGTAGTGTCGGGTGAATTAACAAGAAAGAAATGGGCATAGCGGTCAAAATGTAATAAACTTAGAAAACTGCCAAATATTAACTAGAACAAAAGGAACACATGGCACACAAAATGAGAGCATGAATAGCATCAAAAAGGTGTATAACAGACTAGAGAAATTGGCAGCATAATACATACTGTATTTAGAAATGGCACTTACATATGTGACCGACCATCCCTTTTCGGTCTTATGTTAAAACATTTGAAATGGTGTTTTCTACATTGGATAAAAGTACAGACTCAGAGCTTTACATTTGCTTTAATAGTTGATAAACTTGTAACCCCACTTTTGAGAAAATGGCCCTTGAATGTTTTGGTACACCTACTGGAGAGCTCTTCTTTGTCTACACCCATTCAGCATCATTCACATCCTCTTAAGCCTTAGCCCCACCCATCTCTTTAAGGAGTCACATGTGAGGCCATGTGCTAAACAGAGTGAGTAAGTATACAAGTGTAGTAAACAACCACAGATTTCAAGACTAAAAGTGGTGAAAGTAGTAGCCTACAATAAGGAAAAACTCCAGGGAAAAATGCACTTTATCTAGTCCTATATCCCAATCTGACTTTGTTGCAGGTCATGTTGTTCTTCACATGACTGTCTCAGGGAAATACACACTAATCAAATCAAAGTGTATTTGTCACATGCACCGGATACAGAAGGTGTAAATGATACAGTGAAATGGTTACTAGCAATGTCAAAAATAGAAAGTATCAACATACATTTTTTTTATAATTATTAGATAAGGCTTACCAAGACACACTTGTCTAAGTGTATAGATGGGTCATGTGAAAGACTGGCTATAACTAACCCCCAGCCACATCTAGCTAAGTGGATGGGTCTCTATTGCCTAGACCTGTTCACATGAAATACAATAGCTGGCCATATCACCCCCAGACACACCTGGTCCATCACAACTTTTTCCCACTGATCTTTGTCGATAGCGCCTTCTAAATTCAGGGCAGCAATGATGTTGAGAGCAGTAGAAACACTTTTGCAGTTCTCAGTGGCTATAATCTTTCAAAAAAAGCCGCGGGAGCAAGGATTATCTACACATACTGAGCAGCTCATGCTATAGACAGAAGCCAGCAACATGGCAGACCAATCAAAACTCATCTCTTCGGCCCATCCATTATCTCAGCCAATCAAATCAAATCAAACTTTATTTGTCACATGCGCCGAATACAACCTTATCGTGAAATGCTTACTTACAAGCCCTTAACCAACAATGCAGTTCAAGAAAGAGTTAAGAAAATATTTTACAAATAAACTAAAGTAAAAAATAATAAAAAGTAACAATAAAATAACAATAACGCGGCTATATACAGGGGGTACTGGTACCGAGTCAATGTGCGGGGGTACAGGTTAGTCGAGGTAATTTGTACATGTAGGTAGGGGTAAAGTGACTTGGCGCTCCGGTACCGCTTGCCGTGCGGTAGCAGAGAGAACAGTCTTTGACTTGGGTGACTGGAGTCTTTGACAATTTTTTGGGCTTTCCTTTGACACTGCCTAGTATATACAGTTGAAGTCGGAAGTGTACATACACTTAGGTTGGAGTCATTAAAACTCATTTTTCAACCACTCCACACAGTTCTTGTTAACAAACTATAGTTTTGGCAAGTCGGTTAGGACATCTACTTTGTGCATGACACAAGTAATTTTTTCAACAATTGTTTACAGACAGATTATTTCACTTATAATTCACTGTATCACAATTCCAGTGGGTCAGAAGTTTACATACACTAAGTTGACTGTGCCTTTTAAACAGCTTGGAAAATTCCAGAAAATGATGTCATGGCTTTAGAAGCTTCTGATAGGCTAATTGACATAATTTGAGTCAATTGAAGGTGTACCTGTGGATGTATTTCAAGGCCTACCTTCAAACTCAGTGCCTCTTTGCTTAACATCATGGGAAAATCAAAAGAAATCAGCCAAGACCTCAGAAAATAAATTGTAGACCTCCACAAATCTGGTTCATCCTTGGGAGCAATTTCCAAACGCCTGAAAGTACCACGTTCATCTGTACAAACAATAGTACGCAAGTATAAACACCATGGGACCACGCAGCTATCATACCGCTCAGGAAGGAGATGCGTTCTGTCTCCTAGAGATGAACGTACTGTGGTGCGAAAAGTGCAACTCAATCCCAGAACAACAGCAAAGGACCTTGTGAAGATGCTGGAGGAAACAGGTACAAAAGTATCTATATCCACAGTAAAACGAGTCCTATATCGACATAACCTGAAAGGCCGCTCAGCAAGGAAGAAGCCACTGCTCCAAAACCGATATAAAAAAGCCAGACTACGGTTTGCAAGTGCACATGTGGACAAAGATCGTACTTTTTGGAGAAATGTCCTCTGGTCTGATGAAACAAAAATAGAACTGTTTAGCCATAATGACCATCGTTATGTTTGGAGGAAAAAGGGGGATGCTTGCAAGCCGAAGAACACCATCCCAACCGTGAAGCACGGGGGTGGCAGCATCATGCTGTGGGGGTGCTTTGCTCCAGGAGGGACTGGTGCACTTCACAAAATAGATGGCATAATGAGGAAGGAAAATTATGTGGATATATTCAAGCAACATCTCAAGACATCAGTCAGGAAGTTAAAGCTTGGTCGCAAATGGGTCTTCCAAATGGACAATGACCCCAAGCATACTTCCAAAGTTGTGGCAAAATGGCTTAAGGACATCAAAGTCAAGGTATTGGAGTGGCCATCACAAAGCCCTGACCTCAATCCTGTAGAAAATGTGTGGGCAGAACTGAAAAAGCGTGTGCAAGCAAGGAGGCCTACAAACTTGACTCAGTTACACCAGCTCTGTCAGGAGGAATGGGCCAAAATTCACCCAACTTATTGTGGGAAGCTTGTGAAATGCTATCCGAAACGTTTGACCCAAGTTAAACAATTTAAAGGCAATGCTACCAAATACTAATTGAGTGTTTGTAAACTTCTGACCCACTGGGAATGTGATGAAATAAATAAAATCAGAAATAAATCATTCTCTCTGCAATTATTCTGACATTTCACATTCTTAAAATAAAGTGGTGATCCTAACTGACCTAAGACAGGGAGTTTTTACAAGGATTAAATGTCAGACATTTTGAAAAACTGAGTTTAAATGTATTTGGCTATGGTGTACGTAAACTTCCGACTTCAACTGTAGGTTCTGGATGGCAGGAAGCTTGGCCCCAGTGATGTACTGGGCTGTACGCACTACCCTCTGTAGCGCCTTATGGTCAGATGCAGAGCAGTTGCCATACCAGGCGGTAATGCAACCGGTCAGGATGCTCTTGATGGTGCAGCTGTATAACCTTTTGAGGATCTGGGGACCTATGCCAAATCTTTTCAGTCTCCTGAGGGGGAAAAGGTGTTGTCGTGCCCTCTTCACGACTATCTTGGTGTGTTTGGACCATGATAGTTTGTTGGTGATGTGGACACCAAGGAACTTGAAACTCTCGACCCGCTCCACTACAGCCCCGTCGATGTTAACGGGGGCCTGTTCGGCCCGCCTTTTCCTGTAGTCCACGATCAGCTCCTTTGTCTTGCTCACATTGAGGGAGAGGTTGCTGTCCTGGCACCATACTGCCTGGTCTCTGACATCCTCCCTATAGGCTGTCTCTTCGTTGTCGGTGATCAGGCCTACCACTGTTGTGGCTAGCAGGAAGGTTCCTGTCTTTTTACGTGGCTAAATCAACTAGGCTCGTAATTTAACAATTGTATTCGTATTTACAGATATTAATGCACATGAAAGTTCACGTTGAAGAAGGCATATCTGTAAAACAATTATGAAAAAAAGGTTTTTACGTTCTCCTGTGAAGTAGTGACGCCCGTCATACGCCCAGTTATCTGAAACGGGGCACCTACTGTATAAACACTACGGTAATGTAATACATAAGGCTCCGACTGATTGTTTCACGCACAGAAGGGAAGGAAGAGAATGTCTCCCGTGGCAACCTGGAACATCTGGCATCGCCATCAAAGGATTTGTTGTGGAGGAAGGAAAGAAGGTGAGGAGTGAGGAAAAAGGTTGTGGAGTGGTGATTTGGGAGTGACAACAGGTGTGGGAACAGGTGTAGTGGGAAGGGGCGTGGCCTTGACCAATTTGGAGCAGTTAGTTAATCTGCAGAGGAGTGGTCTTCAATACAACACCATTCCATCCATTATTATGAGCCGTCCTCCCCTCACCAGCCTCCTCTGGTGCACACACACACACAGAGGGAATTCAAAGTGTGTTAACGGTGGTGGTTTCCACCTCACCGATACTAACAGTCATGTCATGTGTGTCCTGTGGGTGGCCACCTCCACTGAGGGAAATCCCAGTGACAGAAGCCAATGTGTTTTCTGTTGGTGATCAGTCAGGGTAATCTCCTGGGTAGTGTCTCTGCTCTGCTCTCTGATTCACAGACCTAGTGACCCCCCCCTCTAGAAAGTTCTGATGGGGAGTGTTTCCATAGAGATGGTCATTGTTTATGGACACGAGGCCACACCCTGATTACATATTGTGGGCAGTCAGAGCTCAAAGTCCAGACAAAGCAGGTCCCCCAACCTCTATCTCTCTCTCTTTCTGTGTGTGATGAACACAAAGCAGCAGTGCCCGTGGGTTTGGAAGTGGCTTCCATATTTGTGTGTGAATGTGGTTTGTTAGAACTAGGTGTCAGACCTGGGTTAGCTGCTGAGAGGGTGGTCCTGCCAGCCATGCAAACTGCAATTACATTATGAGAGGTTCCAGTGGCTCAGGTACTATTAGACTGAGGAGAAACATTGAGCTGAAGCAAGCTGAAACAATATTGAAGTTTATACAGCAGTTTTATGCATACAAACACAGACACATATTTAAACATAATAGTTTTCAGCTGATTGGGCTACATTCATGGTGTCAAGTTTTTAAAGGCTTTCAAAGGTCTATGCAATTCCTGGATGAATGATCTCTTTAGAGTCAATGCATTAGGTCATTCAGTCAGCCAATTTCTCTCTCAGAATCGGATGCGTGTTTGAGTGTGTGTGATTACATCTCTCATATCTTCAGGACACACATACTTGTAAACATGAATATCTCTTTGCTGTGACCGGAAAATGACAAAGTGCAGGCCTATTCATGTTTGTGGCAGATACAATGCAGTCTATTCCTTCCATAGCAAAGTGCTCTCTGCAGAGTGTTTGTCTGGCAGATCGCTGTAGTGGCTGTGTGTCACGAATACAGCCGAGGCTGCCCCTCCTCCTTGCTCGGACAGGCTTCGGCGTTCGTCGTCACCGGAGTACTAGCTGCCACCGATCGATGTTTCTGTGTTACACTTGTCTTGTCTTTATTATTCACACCTGTTACCCATTATGCTTATTTGTTTCCCTATAATTACCTCTGTTTTCCCTCCTGGGTTTGTGCGTGATTGTCCGTTGTTTTACGTAGTTTGGTGAGCTGTTGGGCTGCTCTTCCCTGCGTGGAGGGTTGGTTATGGTTTACTTTAGTTTGAGTAAATCCATTCATTTCTCAGTTCTGTGTCCTGCGCCTGATTTCCGTTTCACCACTTCACCCAGACGTTGACACTGTGGGTGTGCGTGCTTGCACGTGGGTGGGTGGGTGCGTGCGTGTAATAGTCTAGCAATGGCCTGGTGTTCTGGTGAACAGTGCTTTAATACTCTCTGTGGATTTTTATCAGTGGAAATCTCCGCCTGTTTCCTGTGCTAAGCCTAAATATTATTTCCCCTTTGTCCACATACACACACACTTACATACACGCTATCTCTGTTTCTCTTTCTCTCTCTCTCTCTCTCTCTCTATGCAGCACGTGTCCTTTAGTCCTTCAGTTATATTTGCCTCATTACGTTGCACCTAATACCTTTCAGAAGTGCGATCGTCAGCACTTTTCATATTTATAGTTTGAACCTTCATATCCCTTCTGTTGCACCTCGTTTATGATGCTGTCTCTTCCCTTCTGTTCCTCCCCCATCTCCCTCCATATCACACTCTCCCCCCTGCTCTCTCCCCCCCCTCTCCATCCCGCCTCTCCCTCCCCTCTGCCGCCCCCCCCTCCATCCCGCCTCTGTCCCCTCCCTCCCTCCTCCACCTCTCTCCCCCCTCTCCCTCCCCTTTGTCCCCTCCCTCTCTCCTCCCCCTCTCTCCCCCCTCTCTATCCCGCCTCTCCTTCCCCTCTGTCCCCTCCCTCTCTCCCCCTTTTCCCTCCCCTCTGGCCCCTCCCTTCCCTCTGTCTCCTCTCCCTCCCCTCTGTCCCCTCCCTCCCTCCTCCCCCTCTCTCTACTTAGAGCCAGACTGGGCATCGGTGACTCTGGGCGTGTTTGTGTGCCAGGGCTGCTCCCTCCTCCACAGAGGCATCCCCCACATCAGCAGGGTCAAGTCCATCCAGCAGGAGTCATGGGAGACCTCAGAGGTGGAGGTCAGTAACCCTGCTGTACCAGAGGGGGAAGCGCGAGAGCATGATGGGAATCTGTATATGATATTGCATCACATTGGTCCTAATTAGAGTTGTTACCTATTGCCAGTTGCAACCTGATTTGAGATCAGATCTTGCCATCCAACTTCTTAAGTCTGCCCATTTTAGACCAAACACAAAAACTGACCCTCAATCAGTTCCAGTAGTGTGTCTGGCACATTGCCTTCTTTAGACTGGGAAGCCTAATCCCCACAGGGACTTGTTCATCTTTTCTAAATGCAATAATAATGTCAGCTCCAAGAGACCACCACTGATGAGATTTGGGGAGTGAAAGCCTTGAGGGAGAGTGATTGACTAGGCATCACCTTGGGGGATAGAAGGGATAGAGGATTCTCAGATTAAGAGGGAAACATAAAGTTACAATAAGAGATCCCTGAGGGAAAGATAAAGACAGAAAACAAGATGCTTGGACTGCAATTTAGTACTACTCTTAGTTTCCTTCCCGTAAGTATCAGTCTTAAAAATGCCCCTTATGTGTTGTCAATGCATTAATGGATTTGTCCGTCTATCGTCAGCTAATGGCTGCCATGGGTAATGAAGCAGCCAAAGCTAAGTACGAACAGAAGGTTCCAGCATTCTACTACAGACCCAAACACACAGACTGCAAGTAAGTCACTCTCGTCACTGAGTTATAATGAACTAACAACAGCGTTTGGTCCGTTGGTATGTACACAGTAGTGGTATACAAGGGAATCACTGCTGTGTCGTGCTGTTACTGTAAAGCGTTTACTGTTTCACACCAGCACTGAAATGTAACATGCTGCAGTACTTCTTCTTCCTGTGTGTGTGTGTGTGTGTGTGTGTGTGTGAGTGAAAGAGAGAGAAAGATAATGAGGTTAAAGTGTGACTATCAGGGTTGGGGTCAATTCCAATTCATTTGAAATTCCAATTCAATATTGGAATTAACTTATGAAGTGGAGAATTAACATTGAATTCAATTAGAATTTCAGCAATCTTAAAGTTATGGAATTGGAAATAGAATTAGACTGTTTGGACTGTTTAAATTGGAATTTAATTGGAATTGTAAAAATATTTAATATTTGAAATTTAATTGAAATGGAATTCAATATTTGTACATTTGCCAGTTAATGGCATTAATGCACTTAGTATAAAAAACTGACTGCATGATTTGTTTTAAATCATTTCAACTTGTATTTCTATATTTCCAGTATAGCTAAGCTGTCTGAACAGTGACATGATCACCCTGAAAGCCTGAGGGAATTGAATTCGAATTGGAATTTGGGGAATTGTTGGGGACAATATTGAATTAGGAATTTAATTATTGGAATTTACCTAACATTGGAATTGAGAGGAATTGAATTATCTCTGAATTCAAAATCCGATTTAAATGGAATTGAATTAGAATTGAATTTGTGGAATTAATCCCATACCTGGTGACTACTACACTGCAGATTTATGCGTCTTGAAAAACAGTGTGTTCTCTGTGTGTCTGCGCCATTACTCTTCTCTGTGGGTACTAAACCAACAAGCATATTACATGTGAGAGGGGCGATAGTGAGAGGCATATTTGTTTGTGTCAGTCGAATGGATTACTTGAATTTAGGTAGCCTAGCAGTTAAGAGCATTGGGCCAGTAACCGAAAGGTCACCGGTTCAAATCCCCAAGCCAACTGTCAGTGTGCCCTCGAGCAAGACATTTAACCCTAATTGCTCTGGATAAGAGCGTCTGCCAAATGACGAAAAGCTGCAAAATACTGTCTGACCATACTGACATGATTATAAGAGACAGAAAGATGGGAACATCTGAAAGAGCAGTTTTTATACTGTATGTAGGTCTATCAGAGAGAGAGAGGAGATGCTGTTGTTGGCATGGCGATGTTCTCCTCTTCACACACAACTAAAGATAGATCTTCTATTATTAATCTGTTTACTCTCATCAATCTTTTTATTGTGGAGTAAAGGAGAGAAGGAGTGTGTGCGTGTGCATGTGTGTGTGTGCGTGCGCGGGCAATGGAGGTGAAAGAAAAAGAGAATCTGTCACAGCAAGATTAGTAGAAATGTGGCCTGTGTCCCAAACTCCCAACTTGTTAGGCCATCATTCGTTCAGCTAACAGCATGGAACCTGTGCTATAGCAAATTCTGGGAGAAGGTGAAAGGCATCCATTGCTTCATTGTGTTCCAGGCTACTGCGGGAGCAGTGGATCCGAGCCAGGTATGAGAGGAACGAATTTGAGTTCATCGAGAAACAGGAGCCTTACTCTGCAGGTGAGTTGACACAAAGGCTGTTACGGTGACCGTATTACCGCCACACCAGTCATGACAGCAGTCAAATTCCACGTAACCGTTTAGTCATGGTAATTAGGCTTCTCAAAGCTCTGATGCTGCTGCTGGTCATTATGAGCCTACCAGACTTGCTAACTGCCTGGTACCCCACACGCTATTGTCCCTCTAATCACTCTGACATCAATGCAAAAATTATTGGAAATCTAATCAAACACTTCATGAGAGGCCATGAGCTCATGTTGCGCAATGTTTCTATAGGCTATGCAATTGCATGAGAAAACAGAGTGATGGCCTCTATTAAAAAGCTTTCTATAGGATAGACCTACTATATTTATTTCTCAACTTTCCTAATATTAAGCACATTACTTCTATTTACAACAGGAGTATAGCCTACCTGGCTGGCATGAAAATGAACCATGGGAAAAGCATCCTCCATTTGCTATTTAAGTGCATGTCTTTTTTTCCCCTGCTCCTGTTTTGAGACGGGTGCATGATAATGGTCCATTCTAAATCAAAACAAATTTCACACATATATTATTTAGTATATGTAAAGACAAGATTAAATCAAGAACAGTCTGATGGGTGATAATATTTGCCTATCACTTGTGAATTACAGTGGGGAGAACAAGTATTTGATACACTGCCGATTTTGCAGGTTTTCCTACTTACAAAGCATGTAGAGGTCTGTAATTTTTATCATAGGTACACTTCAACTGTGAGAGACTGAATCTAAAACAAAAATCCAGAAAATCACATTGTATGATTTTTAAGTAATTAATTTGCGTTTTATTGCATGACATAAGTATTTGATCACCTACCAACCAGTAAGAATTCCGGCTCTCACAGACCTGTTCGTTTTTCTTTAAGAAGCCCTCCTGTTCTCCACTCATTACCTGTATTAACTGCACCTGTTTGAACTTGTTACCTGTATAAAAGACACCTGTCCACACACTCAATCAAACAGACTCCAACCTCTCCACAATGGCCAAGACCAGAGAGCTGTGTAAGGACATCAGGGATAAAATTGTAGACCTGCACAAGGCTGGGATGGGCTACAGGACAATAGGCAAGCAGCTTGGTGAGAAGGCAACAACTGTTGGCGCAATTATTAGAAAATGGAAGAAGTTCAAGATGATGGTCAATCACCCTCGGTCTGGGGCTCCATGCAAGATCTCACCTCGTGGGGCATCAATGATCATGAGGAAGGTGAGGGATCAGCCCAGAACTACACGGCAGGACCTGGTCAATGACCTGAAGAGAGCTGGGACCACAGTCTCAAAGAAAACCATTAGTAACACACTACGCCGTCATGGATTAAAATCCTGCAGCGCACGCAAGGTCCCCCTGATCAAGCCAGCACATGTCCAGGCCCGTCTGAAGTTTGCCAATGACCATCTGGATGATCCAGAGGAGGAATGGGAGATGGTCATGTGGTCTGATGAGACAAAAATAGAGCTTTTTGCTCTAAACTCCACTCGCTGTGTTTGGAGGAAGAAGAAGGATGAGTACAACCCCAAGAACAACATCCCAACGTGAAGCATGGAGGTGGAAACATCATTCTTTGGGGATGCTTTTCTGCAAAGGGGATAGGACGACTGCACCGTATTGAGGGGAGGATGGATGGGGCCATGTATCGCGAGATCTTGGCCAACAACCTCCTTCCTTCAGTAAGAGCATTGAAGATGGGTCGTGGCTGGGTCTTCCAGCATGACAACGACCCAAACACACAGCCAGGGCAACTAAGGAGTGGCTCTGTAAGAAGCATCTCAAGGTCCTGGAGTGGCCTAGCCAGTCTCCAGACCTGAACCCAATAGAACATCTTTGGAGGGAGCTGAAAGTCCGTATTGCCCAGCGACAGCCCCGAAACCTGAAGGATCTGGAGAAGGTCTGTATGGAGGAGTGGGCCAAAATCCCTTGCTGCAGTGTGTGCAAACCTGGTCAAGACCTACAGGAAACGTATGATCTCTGTAATTGCAAACAAAGGTTTCTGTACCAAATATTAAGTTCTGCTTTTCTGATGTATCAAATACTTATTGTCATGCAATAAAATGCAAATTAATTACTTAAAAATCATACAATGTGATTTTCTGGATTTTTGTTTTAGATTCCATCTCGTACAGTTGAAGTGTACCTGTGATAAAAATTACAGACCTCTACATGCTTTGTAAGTAGGAAAACCTGCAAAATCGGCAGTGTATCGGCAGTGTATCGGCAGTGGGGCGGCAGGTAGCTTAGTGGTTAAGAGCGTTGTGCCAGTAACCGAAAGGTCGCTGGTTCTAATCCCCGAGCCGACTAGGTGAAAAATCTGTCGATGTGCCCTTGAGCAAGGCACTTAACCCTAATTGCTCATGTAAGTCGCTCTGGATAAGAGCGTCTGCTAAATGACTAAAACGTAAACGTATCAAATACTTGTTCTCCCCACAGTATTATCACTTGTGAATGATGCCCAGCTTGTGTGCAGTAAGGGAAGAAACAGCGCCTCATGTAGCATAGCCCATAGGCCTATATGTTTTGATAAGGTTTGTGTCACAAAATCACAAACTAAAATTAAGCACATTAATCCGCTTTACAACGGGTGTAGAGCCTAACTGGCATACATACGCAGCGCGTGAGTTTCAAGTTTGGGGAAGATAATTTTCACCATAAAAATGCACCTTTTATAATAAAAGCATTACATGCATAATCGCATTTGCGGTCACTTGAGAATGGTGTTTTCCTGCTAGTTGATTGCATTTTGGAACATTCGCGCTTATAGACTACTGCCGTGTGCACATTGCTGCGCATATAATGTGAAGAAATAGCCTAATAGTTTATCAACATTTTAAGCTAAACGTTCTGATCTGATGCGTCAGCCTCATTGCTTAAAAAATGTTTTTTGATACTAGTGGTTGTATTAATTTGGGATCTATCGCATCCCACAACTGTCCCAGACTATGTTTGGAATATTTATTTAACGCACAGTATAGAATAGGTCGACTTTTGTGCTATGGGGGATAGGCTGCCTATGTCAATCTACTATGTAAATCTACTATCCCCCATAGAATAAAAGCTGATAGGTTACTGCTTCTGCTGTTCGTTAGGCTTGTTGGCTGACGAAAAGTAAATGTGGACAGTTCTTCCAATATCTTCAATGTGCGCCTCGGAATTGGATAATGACGCGCGTAGTTGCGTCCCCGATGTGTCTGTCTTCACTTGTAGCCTGTGAGAAAGACCCGATCATTTGACAGGCATTGGCTAATAAGAATTGAGCTGTCTGAGAGAGCCATGTGAGAGAGAGGTGCTTCGGAGCATGCAGCCGGGAGAAGGGAATTATAATTATTATATTCAGCCCAAGGGCACAACGGCCACTGGCCGCAAAAGGCATTTTTGTAGGGGGCATTACGGTCACACAAAGGGGATGCCGCTGGGAAATTCGAGGGATTATCAAGTGCTCGTCAAATTGTGAATGAGAGACTGCTGAAATGTGTGCAGCCTGCGCAAATAACAAAGGAGAGTTCATGACTTTTCATGCAACTTTTTTTCAAATCATCATTAGAGTCGCATCATGCAGCCTTAGAATGTATTAAAAATACAAACGTTGGGCTATATGTTTTGATCACAACTAAAGTTGCATAAATAACTCTAAATTAAGCATATAGGAAGACTTGTTTCTTTGTTAACCGCTCAACACAGAATAGCTGCATGTGCACACTCCCAGAAATACTTTCTATTTTATTCAGCTATGTTCAATTGCATTCTTCATACTATAAAATAATATAAAATAATGCCATGGAATTCTAAGCAAATCTTGTCTGCTAAATGAACTAGTGTAGCCCACAGCCATATGGCATAGCCATATCAGGGCCTAACATAAAGACAAGGAGTATGCTATTCTGTTATTCTGAAATAGACTACATCTTCATATCATGTTTCTTTAGACCTGTCTAAAATACATAAAATATTTATTGTGATGGTGGATGCTATGGATTAATTAGACTTCCAAAGGTCTGCATCAGTGGCTTGTAGGCTATGCGTGGATGCCAGGAGATGCTAAATGTGTTTATGTTAATTAACGGTCAATTACCGTGAGACCGGCAGTTATTTGCTTGACAATCACCGGCTTACAAAATATCATGACCACCACACACACACAGACACACACACACACACACAGAGAGACACACACATACACACAAGCTTTGCCTATGCAAAGCTATGGATGCAGGGCTATGCAAAATCTAGCCAACAAATAGTCCTTCTCTGTCATGACAACAAAGCATTGCCTAAACAGTTTGCAAATACAAATAAAACCTTGAAAGAGTTTAGTGACAAATCCTTTACCCCTGCATCATCAAGTCAGAATATTTCAAAACCTTTGCACTCCACAGTATCCACAGAAATGCTTTGTTTGGGAACTATGAATTGAAGAAAGGATGACTTTGAAGCATAGGATAAAGGCAGAGTGATTATCTCTGGCCTTGTATTCTTCATTGTGCTTGAGACAGTGTCAGTCAGTGAATGACTCTTGTTTCATTGCATGAAAGCTATCTTGCTCTTATTGGAGCCAGACTGGACTCTCATTGATTAAAGATGACCTCATCTGTTTACTATGAGATTCAACGTCCTCCTTGGGTGCACACACACACTCACACACACACACACACACACAGTTGTCTGACTGGCTGTAATACAGATGGATGCATTGGGCAGGATATTTATATTTATATCTATTTGCATCACATATATTTGCATCACATTTTATTTAACCTTTATTTAACCCGGAAAAGCCCATTGCGACCCAGAGTCTCTTTTTCAAGAGTCTCTTTTTGCATCACATACACTACCAGTCAAATGTTTGGACACACTTACTAATTCCACGGTTTTTCTTTATTTTTACCGTTTTATACATTGTAGAATAATAGTGAAGACATCAAAACTATGAAATAAAACATATGGAATCATGTAGTAACCAAAAAAGTGTTAAACAAATCAAAATATATTTTGATATAGTAGCCACCCTTTGCCTTGATGACAGCTTTGCACACTCTTGGCATTCTCTCAACCATATTCATGAGGTAGTCACCTGGAATGCATTTCAATTAACAGGTGTGCCTTCTTAAAAGTTAATTTGTGGAATTTCTTTCCTTCTTAATATGTTTGAGCCAATCAGTTGAGTTGTGACAAGGTAGTGGTGGTATACAGAAGATAGCCCTATTTGGTAAAAGACCAAGTCCATATTATGGCAAGAACAGCTCAAATAAGCAAAGAGAAACGACAGTCCATCATTACTTTAAGACATGAAGATCAGTCAATCCGGAAAATGTCAAGTTCAGTCGCAAAAACCATCAAGCGCTATGATGAAACTGGCTCTCATGAGGACCGCAACAGGAAAGGAAGACCCAGAGTTACCTCTGCTGCAGAGGATAAGTTCAGTAGAGTTAACTGCACATCAGATTGCAGCCCAAATAAATGTTTCACAGAGTTCAAGTAACAGACACACCTCAACATCAACTGTTCAGAGGAGACTGAGTGAATCATGCCTTCATGGTCGATTGCTTCAAAGAAACCACTACTAAAGGACACCAATAAGAAGAAGAGACTTGCTTGGGCCAAGAAACATGAGCAATGTACATTAGACCAGTGAAAATGTGTTCTTTGGTCTGATGAGTCCAAATTTGAGATTTTTGGTTCCACTAACCCTATATATTTGCTTCATCTATGCATTTGCATCAGATGTACCCAGGGCTAAAATCAATAGATCCATAGTTTCTACCCTCTTCAGGGTCCTGTATCTCACAAAGGTGAACGGATGATCTCCGCATGTGTGGTTCCCAGCGTGAAGCATGGAGGAGGAGGTGTGATGATGTGGGGGTGTTTGCTGGTGACACTGTCTGATTCATTTAGAATTCAAGGCACACTTTACCAGCATGGCTACCACAGCATTATGCAGCGATACGCCATCCCATTTGGTTTGTGCTTAGTGGGACTATAATTTGGTTTTCAACAGGACAATGACCCAAAACACATCTCCAGGCTGTGTAAGGGCTATTTGACCAGGGAGAGTGATGGAGTGCTGCATCAGATGACCTGGCCTCCACAATCACCCGACCTCAACCCAATTGAGATGGTTTGGGATGAGTTTGACTGCAGAGTAAAGGAAAAGCAGCCAACAAGTGCTCAGCATATGTGGGAACTCCTTCAAGACTGTTGGAAAAGCATTCCTCATGAAGCTGGTTGAGAGAATACCAAGAGTGTGCAAAGCTGTCATCAAGGCAAAGGATGGCTACTTTGAAGAATATAAAATATAATATATATTTTGATTTGTTTAACACTTTTTTGGTTACTACATGATTCCATATGTGTTATTTCATAGTTTTGATGTCTTCACTATTATTCTACAATGTATAAAAAAAAATAAAAAAATAAAGACTAACCCTTGAATGAGTAGGTGTGTCCAAACTTTAGACTGGTACTATATATTTGCTTAATCTATACATTTGCATCCATCAGATGTACCCAGGGCTAAAATCAATAGATCCATAGTTTCTACCCTCTTCAGGGTCCTAGATGTTCTGTTAGCTTCTGTAGAGCAAGGAGAGTAGTGGTAAACTAGTCTCCCCAGTGGTCGATGGCAGTATATTTATTCTATATGCAGAGAAAGAGAGAGGGGGGGGGGGGGGGGGGTTGTTATTGATCAATGATGTAATGCAAGGTGAATGATTCATGTCAGACTGGGAAAAAGAGAGACGCCAACCTCTGTCACCAGGGGATGGAGAGATGAGGGAGGAGAAAACAGGGGACAGAGGCGGGAGGAGAGAAGTGGGGGGTATGGAACTTGAGGGGGGAGAGAAGTGGGGGGTATGGAACTTGAGGAGTGCTGGATGGGAAAAGGAGATTGAAAATAGGGGTTATCAAATCACATACACGTGTTTAGCAGATGTTATTGTGGGTGTAGCGAAATGCTTGTGCTTCTAGCTCTGACAGTGCAGTAATATCTAACAATTTCACAACATGAGTGTTTATGAGGGAGGGAGAGGTAGGGGAGATGGAGAGAGGAGGATACATACAGTAAAACTGACATTCCATGGAGTGAGAGAGTGGGAGGGAGGCGAAAGGAAAATAGAGACATAAAAAGAGAGAACTATAGGGAGAGAGAACAAGAGAGAGATGAAGAGAGTGTGTAGCCTATAATTAATTACATACAGTGCTCTGTACTGCCACATCATGTAATGAAACCACTTCCGTCTGTAAGAGGGCCAGAAATAGACTGGGAAGGACTTATTGAGAATTATAAACTTGGTGGTTCGAGCCCTGAATGCTGATTGGCTGAAAGCCGTGGTATATCAGACCGTGTAACACGGGTATGACAAAACATTTCATTTTACTGCTCTAATTACATTGGTAACCAGTTTATAATAGCAATAAGGCACCTCAGGGGTTTGTGGTATATGGCCAGTATACCACGGCTAAAGGCGTTGTATCGTGCCTAAGAACAGCCCTTAGCCGTGGTATATTGGCCATATACCACACCCCCTTGGGCCTTATTGCTTAAATAGAGCACTGTGTCATTAACATGTAAAAGGATGTACTTTACCATCGGGGAGGTGATTTTTTTCTCCCTGTCATCTTTTCTTTGACTTCCTCTCTCATACACTCTCTTTCAGCTAAAGCCCCTCTCTTTCTGTCTCACTTTCTCTCTCCCTCAGTCTGCTTGGTATTTCTTTATTACACCAGAGAGTTATTTCTCCTCCTTTCTCTCTTGTTCTCTCTCCCACCTCTTCCATATCTCTTTGTATCTCTCGCTCTCGCTCTCTCTCTCTTTCACTGACCCTTTTGTCTGAGTTTGTCTGGTGTGTCTCTATCTACCCAGGGTACAGAGAAGGGTTTCTATGGAAACGGGGCAGAGACAAGGGTCAGTTCCTCAGTCGGAAATTCATCCTGTCAGAACGAGAGGGGGCGCTCAAGTACTTCAGCAAGCAGGAGGTAAGGCTGGAGTCAACACAAATGCTCCCGCACATAAATACAAGCATGTTCCTAGGAAATGTAATCTGCAGCTAGTTTATGCTACTACCTTTCAAGTTAACCATCTCAAGTTAAACATGAATACTTGTATAGCAGGCTATGCACAGTATACAGGCATGTGTCTACAAGGAAACTAAAACAAATGCCTCAAAAGACATCATCCCCTTACCTATCTGTTTGTGTTTACTGTAAACATACAGTATGTATTATTCTATAACAAGTTATATGTATGGTGATTAAGAGGGGTTGGGTTAAATGTGGAAGACACGTTTTGAATGCATTCCGTTGTGCAACTGACTAGGTATCCCCCCGCCACCCCCCCTGTATTTATGTACTGTACAGTTTGTGTATCTCCCCCAGGCGCGGGACCCCAAGGCGGTAATGAAGATCGAGACTCTCAACGCCACGTTCCAGCCGGCTAAGATAGGCAACCCCTACGGCCTGCAGATCACCTACCTTAGAGACAACAGCACCAGGAACATCTTTGTCTACCACAGCGACTCTAAGGTGACGCATATGGGTGACTGCGACAAAAGGGACTCTGGGCAATATTGATGTAGCCTGGTCCAAGATCTGTTTATGCTGGTATAGCCAATTCCTATGGTCTCATGTGTAAATGCACTGAATCGTTAGAGATATTATGCATGATGAATCAACATTTCAATGGTACACCCAATATGCTTCTGTTCCTCATATCATGAAACACTGATTTAGTCTGTTCAACTAAATCTGATTGTACTATTTCAGTGTCTAGCTAGGTCTAATGGAGATGGGCTGTTTTGGATAACTGAGTGAGAGTGGAAATGAAAATGTCTGTTTAATCAGTAGACATCAGTCTTCACAGTGACAAACAGCTGTACTCAGTACATGTAATCTGGTCAGTGGAACTGGTTAGAGAAATGTGGAGGTAGTTGTGTTCACACAAAGGGCTGCTGGCTGGCTGGCATGCACATAGGCTGTTTTTCTCTGAGGGTTTACTGCTGAGCACACCAGATGATCATCTCTCTCAGTAGTGAGTCAGCCTTCTCTGTTGTCGTCACTAGTTACCACAGCCACAAAGTCATAAACTCCGCCTATTTCTACAATTTATCTTCTTAAAATTTGATTTCAAACCTAACCCTAACCTTGAGCCCAACCCTAACCACACTGGTAACCTTATGCCTAACCTTAAATGAAAACCAAAAAGCTCATGTTTGTTTTCATGAATTTTACGATATAGACAATTTTGTGACTTTGTGGTTGTGGTAACTAGTGAAAACCCTTCTCTGGCGGATGAAAGGCACAGATAGTACAGCCCCCTCTGTTGGTCAACAGACACAATAGCAGACTTGAACAGAACAGCAATAGTAAAGCTGCCATGTCATGATATAATCATAGCTGCGGAAAGTAGTTTGAGGATGGGGGTGCTGCGGTTTATTCGCAGCAAATACAGGACTAGTAAAGGCCCAATGCACTACAACTAAATGTACTTACTTGATACGTGTTTTCCAGTTTCTTGAAATACTTTGCAAATGCAACTTATTTCTATGTGAACTGAAATTGTCTATTCATTCCTTTTACATTTTAGTAGATGCTTTTATCCAGAGCAACTTACAGTAGTGAGTGCATACATTTTCATACTTTTTCGTACTGGTCCTCCGTGGGAATTGAACCCACAACCCTGGCGTTGCAAGCACCATGCTCTACCAACTGAGCCACATCATCACAAACCACTTGATGTCTCAGTGTACTCAATTACTGTATTGTGCATATTTTTTCTTCATGGTGATGGAAAGTCTACAGGTACAATACCTAGATGACCAGCCTATGTACAATACAGTAATGTGCATTTACATTTAGTGGCATGTAAGGATGGTAAATTAATACTTTTCCATGTTATTTGCTAAAAAAATGTTTTAATTTTATGTGGATGTTTTGGGTCTTTGCCCATAACTTTGCACCTTTTTGATGTACATGTTTGAGGACAGGGTTTTGTTCTTTCTGGATTCCATTCAACTCTTACAATTCCAACTTTTGAATCCTGCAAGACACTGTTCTTAATTATACAACTACCTTTTCTGCCAAAGCGGAGAAGCTGAAAAAAATGTTTCCCCCACGCTACAGACATCTATTGGTCTGCTAATACAGGACTAGTGCACTACTTTTGTGAGAAAAATAAAATCATATTTTTATGGGGGGTGGTATTAATATATATTTTTTTATTCTGATTTTTCAGGGGGTGCTGCAGTACCCTCAGCACCTCCTACTTCCCGTGGCAATGGATATAATAGCTTAATCATGTCTCATAATGTTCTATACTGTAGCAGGTTTACTTTATTCTCAATGTAGAGATGACTCTGAATAAGACATGTATCTGACTAGGATGCGCTTGTGTCTTTGTTTTGGTAGGAAATGGTGGACTGGTTCAACGCTATCAGAGCTGCCAGGTTTCATTACCTTCAGGTGGCCTTCCCTGGAGCCAGTGACGAGGAGGTGAGGCCACAACGTATACAGGACTTTGAAATGACTATGACCACTATTAAACACCAAATTAGACAATAATATATTGTTTTCTCTCTTGTCTTCTCCTTCAGCTGGTGCCCAAACTGACTCGTAGCTTCATGAAGGAAGGCTTCATGGAGAAAACAGGCCCAAAACACACCGAGGGCTTTAAGAAGAGGTGGTTCACCATGGATGACAGGAGACTCATGTACTTCAAAGATCCTCTGGTGAGGAGACAGATAGCATCACACCCTACACTAAAATAACTGATCCATTCTGAATTAACCCTACTCCTCATAACTTTCTATTCTGCGACATACTTCTTCTCTCTCTTTCTCTCTCTTTCTCCCCGCCTCTCTCCCCCTCCTCTCTCAGGATGCCTATGCGAGGGGAGAGGTTTTCATCGGCAGTAAGGAGAACAGCTACACGGTGCTCCCAGGCCTTCCCCCCTCCACCCAGGGCTACCACTGGAACCATGGCATCACCATAGTAACACCAGACAGGAAGTTCCTGTTTGCCTGCGAGACGGAGGCGGAGCAGAGGGACTGGATCACTGCCTTCCAGAGGGTTATCAACAGACCAATGAGACCACAGGAGTACGCAGGTTAGTCAGGAAGATGCATTACACAGGTGTAATCAAAAGTACAGTTCTCAAAAGTATGCACTACATTAGGTGTACTCTGGAGTATGCATTTATGCAGATGTTGCATCTTTGCAGTAATGTTTGCAGGGTATGTACAACACCAAATGTAACTAGTCAAGGTCTCACAAGCAGTTGCTTGGTTGAAGCTAGTGTTTTATGGCAAGGCTGAAACAAAAGCCTGAACACCAGGTAACTCCTTAGCTCCAGGGTTGGTATTAATCACTATAATTATAGATTGATGTTGTGTTTTTAGAGGTACATGCCTTATCTTAATTTGACCCTGCTTCTCACAGCAGGAAAATAATCCTGCAGCAACAGGATATTTGAATTATTATTTTTATTATGATTAATGGAAAAATGTTTTAGGGGTTGATACATTTTTTGTTAGGGCAAATCAAGTCCGACATTTTAAAGTGGAAATTACAAACTTTAGAAGCCTTTTTAAACCTTGAATACACTACAAGTTTGCATTTCCTGCTATGCAGAAAAATTCCTGCAACAACAGGATGATCAAATTAAGATACAGCATCTGTAGTCCAAAGCAGAGTAATGTGTGATTACCTCTTTATGTACAGTGTCTATATGCATCTCTATGTGATTGTATCTCAATGTTTTGGTACCACTAACTGTTTTTTTGCTCTTCACCGTGCAGTGGAGGCCCACTTTAAACACAAGCCCTGAGACTGGAGCTAGAGCTGTCAGTCTACTGGACTAAGAACAGAACAAACAGGATTTCTCTACAGAGACCCCAGAATAAGTCTATGGGGCTCTACTGTACCATTACAGAGGGAGCATGATGGAAGAAATGCATCAGAGAGGAGACAGAAATCAATAGAAAGACTATCTTCTCCACCTCTCCTGACCTGATGCCCAAACCTGGGGTTAAAGGTCAGTGGGTTTGAGAGGAGAGAAAAGGACACAGAAACGTCAACACCCCTGCTGCTGCTCTCCACATAGACTCTTCCACACTGCACCCCCGCTCTTAGTGTTGTGAGTGGTTCATCCCTTGTTGTTGTATACTAAGGAGTCATGTTCGCTGTGTTTGTTGAGAGCATTACTGTCATTTTAATTATTGATTGAACAGTTTTGATGCCAGTGGATTTATGCAATTTCTCTGATTGTTCTGCATATTCTGTATACATTTAACTTTCAAGGTGCTGACAAAACCTATGCTTCTGGACAGGGTTTTACACATCTCGCGGCTGTTATTTATTTTGAAATACAAATGTAAATATTTTGAATCTCAGTGAATGCTGCTTCATGCAACAGGATTGTAATTTATTTAATATCATACTGCATATGTTTAATCTCCCTGAACTGATTCAATCAATGTGTGTTTACCATTGCAAAACACTAGAGGGCACTCTAGGTCATGTAATACATCACCACAACGCACATCATCCTTTTGCAGGTCCGCCGCTGTAACAAACTTGACAGGGATCCAAGCTGAGAACAATCTCATTTGTCTTGTCTTGTTTACTTCGGGTTAATATGGTCAAATAAATAAATAAATCATGTGGAAGGAACAGTGTAATGATGCAATACATTATGTTGGTTTTCATCAACAGATGGGCTCCCTCTCTCTCTTTTGAAGGTTATGTTTTCTCTATCACTTCTCTCTCTCTAGCACATGGGTTCCCAAACTTTTTTTCTGCACAAATTGATACTAGAAAATACAGGGGACCCCACTTAAAGATGCACTCTCAAACTGTTTTATAATTTCAGCCAGTAGTTTTGAAAGTGGTGTTCACGAGCCAAAACGGGTCCCTGTTTTTTGTGTACTGCGTCATCAAATTGTGTACAACGTCATCCATTTCATGTGATATGTTACGAATTTGTTGTGCTTAAGATCCTGGAGTGCATCTTTAACGCTGTTTGTTGATATTCACTACATTATAGGTCCTGCAGGCTGTCCCAACACATAACAATGGCATGGAAGTGCATTCTAATAGTGTAAAAAGTCATTAGTTCACACTAAAAGATTGTATTCTATACCCATTTGAAGAGAGAAAACGTTCTTAAATTGTTGTTTTTGTTGTTGTTTTTCTCAGGGGACCCCATTTCAATTTCAGGGTTTGGGAACCACTGCTCTAGTAGTTCAAAACCTCTTCTTTCACAAAATGTGTGTGCGTGTGTGCCTGTGTTTGTTTGTGCGTGCATGTGTGTGTGTGTGTGTTCTTGCAGTATGCATGTGTGCAGAATGGATATGTAGTGGGCATCCTCCAGAGCTGTGTGCTTCTCTGTGCTGACGGATGAGTGGACATGGACAGACACACAGCTGTTCCTAGAGGCGGCAGTTGGAGAGCTCAGACAGCTGTTGGAGTTCCACCCAGGGAGAGTTCCAACCAGAGAGAGTTCCAACCAGAGAGAGTTCCACCCAGGGAGAGTTCTAGGTGTTAAGCTGGGGGCTGGATGGACACTCAGAGGGGCGTGGGAAGTGTGGCTGAGCAGTTGTGAAGTGTGGAGGACCAATATTATTATAGACATGGGCTGGAGTGTGCTGACTGTATGCACAAACTTCCGCTCAAGGAGCATGGTAACTGCTGTGCAGCTTACACATATGCACAAAGACCTGGTACTCAAGGGGTTGGCTGTTACAAAAAGTGTAATTGAGAGGTTATAACAGTAAGATAGTGTAATATACAGTTACAGTAACATAGTTATGGTTAGATGTCCCATGTAGCTCAGTTGGTAGAGCATGGCGCTTGCAATGCTAGAGTTGTAGGTTTGATTCCCACGGGGGACCAGTATGAAAATGTATGCACTACTGTAAGAGTGTCTACTAAATGACAAAATGTAGATGTGTGCAAAGTGATAGAGCGTTGATTCCTGCCAGTCCGTGTGGCCATATGATTATGTCTGTTTATTTGTTTGGATAACTTTGAGGAAATGCTTCCATCACTGCATGTCTCCATACATACAGTAGGTGCCTGTTTTGTGAACTATGTGCCTTTCCTGTGAACTTCCAGTACTTCGTAACACATTGACATGTAGGATCCACATGGCGGGAAATCCTCAAGGGATACCCCTTAGAATGGTGTGTGTGTGTGTGTGTGTGTGTGTGTTGGGGGGTCAGGATTAAGAGCTTCAGGGGGTCAGGCTCATGGAGCTGCAGCCCAATCGTCATAGTAACAGCTGGGACACGCTCCCACATGCTGCCTTCACTCTCTCTTTCCCTCTCTCTTTTTAACTTTTTTTCTCCCTCCCTCGCTCAATTTTCAAGACTGAGTAAATTAACATTGTCTTTATATATTGGCAATACAGTATCTGTTCTTATATAAACAATGGCATTTAGATTTTATTCATATGAAATGGTCTGCTGCGAATGTACATGTACTGAACATATAAAGTGGATATAGGGTATGATTTTTGGTCAGGCATAGAGACGGGCCATCCCTCTGTCTGTGAGATTGGACTAGATGCTTTTTCAAGGACTGGCGCCAAGTCAACGTGCCATGGTTGACCTCGGTCACCACAGTGAGGTTTCACAGGCGCTCTGTTTCTGGCATTGTGAACCCTCACAGACCACTCCAGACCACTCCAAGGCAAAGGGTCAGAGGGCACTAGTGTTCGTTGAAATGAGCGATGTACAGTATCTGTGGGAACATCAATGGCTTGGAACCTCCTTAGACTTTCTACAGTATTTATGTATTTGTGGAAAATAGAAGCCATTACTTAGATTGAACAATATAAATGGGCCTGCCATTTGAAAAACTGTTATTAATCCTTTTGTCATTGTTGCAGTGCACAGGAACAACTTGCCAGTAGCATCCTATTATGTTGAGACCGAGATTATCACGTAGACTTGCGTCAGTAGAGGTGTTAGGTCTAATTGACTGTTATAAGTCTATTACACTGCTGCCCCAGTCTGTTTCAAGTTAGCCGGATGGCGTTTCATGTTGTTAAAGTCTAAAGGAGGGCTATGGAGAAGCTGTAGCACTGATCTAATGAACAGTCCCTGGATAGACACACACAAGGGATCCCTTTCACTGCTTCAAATGGGATGAGACACTTTTATCTGCTTTAACTTCTAATAGCTGTAATGGAAAATGAGAAAGATGTGAGAAACCTTATAAACATGTTTCAAAATAATTAAGAAGACTAATTAAACAGAACTTAACTTGAGATACTTGCAAGGAAATGACGCTGCTGTCTGACGGGTGTATACTGTAAGTGTGGGTGGGTGTGCAGTGACGAAATTATGACTTTGTAGGTGATGGAACTGAACCCAAAATTGATTGATTTTTCCATGCAAAGTATTAGTAGAATGTGTGTTTTTACCCATCCAAATTAGTTGGAACTGCCTTCCCACCTATACAGTAATAATATATATAATATGCCATTTAGCAGATGCTTTTATCCAAAGCGACTTTTATCCAAAGCGACATTATTACAGTAGTAGTGTCTGGCTAACCACAGTGTCAGTAAGGTCTCCTGATGTGTCCTTCCATTCCTCCGCCCCTCCACCCTGGCTACAGAACCCTGTGGCATCATGGGTAAGTCAATGTTGGTTCTGTCTGGCAGCCTGTTGTCGTTGGCGACCCAGCGGGCCAGGCAAACTCCAGTAGGCACTAACTCAGTGAGACTCACCAGGGCTTTTTACCATTCAGGAAGTAATTAAAAGTGGGTGGAACCCCAAATCACTAACCATCATATTTGTAGTGAAACTCAAGGGCAGAAACGTAGGGCATTTAGTATAGCCTGAGAGTAGATATAGCAACCCATGAGCCAGGTACAGTATATCTGTCTAAATATCCTGGCTTTGGTTTGTGTAATAGCTATGTTGGTTTGTGTACAGTGTCCATAATCATTGGATGATCTCTCCATTCCAGTGAGGCAATTGATGGTGGTAATTCATGCATCATTTGTATAATCAAACTTCTGTTATTATGCAATGATGCCTGATTATTTTTGTCAATAACTCTTAACAATCTGTCTCCATTCTCTTATCCTCTTCTAGTTGAGTTTCTACGGAAACGTCTTGGCAAACAATCGGGAGCATACTGGTTGCTATAAATGAAAATGAGTTCTTACTAAAGAGTATTCTGCTAAAAAGTCATCCACATCCCATCTGTTCTGATCATCTTCCCTGTGGTTAAGTCTTCCCTGTGGTTAAGTCTTCCCTGTGGTTAAGTCTTCCCTGTGGTTTAGTCTTCCCTGTGGTTTAGTCTTCCCTGTGGTTTAGTCTTCCCTGTGGTTTAGTCTTCCCTGTGGTTTAGTCTTCCCTGTGGTTAAGTCCTCCCTGTGGTTAAGTCCTCCCTGTGGTTAAGTCTTCCCTGTGGTTAAGTCTTCCCTGTGGTTAAGTCTTCCCTGTGGTTAAGTCTTCCCTGTGGTTAAGTCATTCCTGTGGTTAAGTCATTCCTGTGGTTAAGTCATTCCTGTGGTTAAATCTTCCCTGTGGTTAAGTCTTCCCTGTGGTTTAATCTTCCCTGTGGTTAAGTCTTCCCTGTGGTTAAGTCTTCCCTGTGGTTAAGTCTTCCCTGTGGTTAAGTCTTCCCTGTGGTTAAGTCTTCCCTGTGGTTAAGTCTTCCCTGTGGTTAAGTCTTCCCTGTGGTTAAGTCATTCCTGTGGTTAGGTCATTCCTGTGGTTAAATCTTCCCTGTGGTTAAATATTTCCTGTGGTTTAGTCTTTCCTGTGGTTTAGTCTTTCCTGTGGTTTAGTCTTCCTTGTGGTTAAGTCATTCCTGTGGTTAAATCTTCCCTGTGGTTAAGTCATTCCTGTGGTTAAGTCTTCCCTGTGGTTAAATCTTTCCTGTGGTTAAGTCTTCCCTGTGGTTTAGTCTTCCCTGTGGTTAAGTCTTCCCTGTGGTTAGTCTTCCCTGTGGTTTAGTCTTCCCTGTGGTTAAGTCTTCCCTGTGGTTAAGTCTTCCCATACCCTGTTGCTTGTTGGCTGCCTTTGGTAATGATGCAGTTGTTGTTTATTGGTCCAATTAATGTCATGTTCTTTCCCCAGAAGGGAGAAATAGGATCCTTTAACAAAGTAATGGCTCATTAAAATGCATTGCTTTCTGTCTGTGTCACACGCACGCACTCGCTCATGCACACACACACACACACACACACACACACACACACCAACTCACACTCACACTACCCACTCTCTGTAACTGCATGGCAAGCATCCATCCTGTCTTCAAGAAACTGTGTCCAACTACTCAAAAATGTTACGTTTATTTATCTGTCATTTGCAAAAATATTCAGAATTGCCAGAAAAAGGTGTGTGGGCAAACTTATTTAACGGCTCGGCATGAGTTCTTACTCTGCAATTCAGTTATTTCATCGTAAAGGCAAACGTAATACAGCATCCCACACACTAAGCTTATCAAGCATTTACAAGCGCCAGTTACAAGTCGCTGGTTATCATAGGGCCAGCATACAAATACTCCAGTCGACATATCAAGTATAAATGTCAAATAAGCAAAACCTGGAATGTCCATTGGGCAGCCTCGCCATGTTTTTTGAGTTTCAGAAAGATAAACCTTCATCCATACAGAACTGCTGTGCTGGACATGTCTTCTTCAAATGTTGACAAGTGCAGCAGATGCACAGGGCTTAGCGGTCCATGCTACAGGGTGAGTATGGCCGTTTCTGTCCTCAGTCCAGCTGTCCAGTCAATCACAACGTATGGTAGATCGTTTACCTTATTTCCTTCAACCCTGAAATCTAGTTAACTCCATTCGTAGGAAACAGAATTGAACACCTGTTGCCTTGAGTGAAAGTCCACTACTTCTTTTCAGACAAGGAATGGAACTGCACTGGAGTGATGTGAATAAGAAATGGAATTACTATTAGTTTGATAAATCTGTTAACTGGAATGGTCATTCCAAAATAAAACATGTTATTATAAAACATAAATACAAACATAATATTTTATTTATAATAATTATTCAATCTGAGATAAAGAGTTGAACAAGAAAATAAAATATAGAATTGGGTTAATTTGTGATGTGGTCAAAACAGAAGTGCGGTCCCCATTTTCCTCACGGAGGATTCACGCATGCTTGTGGGTAAAGACTCTCTGTCCATCGTGACAAAACCAGCAGGCACTTGGTCTTGGATAATGTCCAATCTTGAGCCTTGTGTCATGTCCTCACTAACACAGCACAAACAGAAGAAGCCCACAGACTTTGTGAAAGCCATGTCAGACAGGCACCATAGGCAGTCAGTGCTGAGTCTAAGGCCTGGTGAGTGTGGAATAGACCGGCTGCTCCCAGTTAGTGGTGGGGCTGTGGCTGTGCAGCGGAGGGAGGGCTACGCTGTTGATTAGCGGGCTGCCATAGGGGCGGCGAGAGGTGTGGAAGTAGGGGTACTGATAGAGACCTGCGGGGTAGCTGGAGTAGGCACTGTAGTAGCTGGGGCTCTGGAGGTCTGCATAGTCACACTGGGGGCTGGGCAAGGAGGAGGAAGAGGAGGCTGAGGAGGGGCAACTCCCGGAGCTGAGGGAGGTGTAGTCGGGGTGGGGTGGCAGGGAGCTGTGGGAGTTCTGGCTGCTGTAGTGCCTGGGACTCAGCTGCTCTGTTTTGATCTGCGTTCTGTGGTGAATACCATCGCTGTTACTTGAGGACGAGGAGGTAGAAGGGGGTGCCGTCCCCGCTCCCGGCCCTTTGGGACCCCACGGTGAGGCATTGCTGTGGGAGTGGCCGTAGGAGGAGCTTAGAGACCCAGAGGGGGGGTTGGGTCCTTGCCCCCCGTGCCCATGGTTGGGAGGTGCATCGGCAGAGCCATGCCCGTTGAGTGGCAGGTACTGGTCAAACTCGTGGACGTCGAAGGCCTCCATGTTGCTGATGACATCAGTGCTCAACTCGGAGATATCCACGTTGCTGAAGTCGATGTTCTGCCGACCACCGTCCAGGGGGCGCCGGCCCTCGTGTTTCACCCCCAGGTGCAGCTCTGTCTTGGGGGTGGTGGGGGGTGTGGGGGGTCCTTGTGGGTGGCCTTTAGAAAAGACACAACAGATGCATAAACATTAGTTACCATATGGAAACAAAAAGGGGAAACCTGCACACCTCAGCAACTAAAAGGAGGGACAAGGTCCTCTACAGTGAGGACCAGAAAAATACCATGCCCAGGTCACTTCCAAACTTTGGACTAACTCAGAGTACATATTATTATTGAATATCGATTGATCGGGAATCAAAAGGGGAAAAACACTGACTTGTCTGCTCTGGATGATGATGCCCATCCCCCATGGAGGCCAGTCTGGCCAGACCAGGTTCAGCCTTGTACATCTGGCCCGGGTGGAGGTGGGCCAGCTCAGCCCCGGAGTCGGAGTCACTCTGACCTGGCTTGGTGCTCTTCCTTCTCCGTGGTTGGTACTTGTAGTCAGGGTAGTCTTTCTTGTGTTGGACCCTCAGTCTCTCTGCCTCCTCCACAAATGGCCTCTTCTCGCTTTCAGAGAGCAGGCTGGAAATGTATGACATTTTGGGTTGAATTGAACATGTGGACTACTATAAGATGCACAATGCTGGATGTCATAGTAAATATCATTATCATTATTCTAAACAAAACGCCATGTAGAATTAAGGTTAATCATGATGAAAAGGCAATGTTGTGCAGTACGTTTTAGGAAACAATACTAGATAAAGTAATAATACGTATTTTGTAACTTCACTGCAGATTTTTGTGCCATGTTCTATGCAGGCACATTACGCACGCAAATATGTATTATATCCCCCATTACATATGTACATTCCGTTATCTCTACTGACCGCCAAAGCTTCCCCAAGGTCTTGCTGAGCTCGGCGTTGTGGAGATGCGGGTACTGGTCCGCTAGTTTCCTGCGCGCAGCCTGCGCCCACACCATGAACGCGTTCATTGGCCGCTTCACATGGGGTTTGTTTTTCAGAGTCCGGTCTCCTCGTGTAGGCATCGGTACGAGCGACCAGTCATATCCGTTCAGCACCTGAGACACCGCGTCTCGAATGCAAGCGGGAAACCGGTTATCTTCCTCGCCGGTGTCCAGTTTTGGGGTAATCCCGTCGCCGGGTGAGTGCCCCGGCGCCTGTCCATCGGAGCCGGTTGGAGAGGACGGGACGTCCGAATCCGAATCGTCCTGCGACATCGAGCTGGCAGTTCCCGTTGGACTGCATGGATGGTTCTTGAATGACTTACTATTTTCCTCGGTCATGTTCAGTGCAAAATTGATTTGGTCTATCTAGTTCCCTGTAGATTGCGCCAAATGTACATTTTACGCACGGAGCCTTGAGTGACCAAAAATAAAAATGTAAAATCCCAAACGCTCTTTGTGATGTATTTTTTTTTCTCTCACACTGTTGTACGTTTTTTGGCGTATGGATATGATGTCTACACTCTGTAGTCTCAGTTTTATACTGACACATTTTGTTCTGCCAAGAGAATGTTGATGGAATTGGGTTGCGTCCTCTCACGCCACGCCTCATATCCTATTGGTTTGGACATAGCTCCACTGGTTCCTCCCATTTTTAGGAAATATGAGCCAGTGATTTGATCATATTTTTACATTTTAGTCATTTAGCAGATGCTCTTATCCAGAGCGACTTTACAGTTAGTGCATCATTTTCTTCTTCTTCTTCTCATACTGGCCCCCCGTGGGAATCGAACCCACAACCCTGGCATTGCAAGCGCCATGCTCTACCAACTGAGCTACACGGAGCCTATGTGTTATATCGTTTCTAATGATTCGTTTTTCTATGTTAAATTGATTATATCAGCCATACATTAAATATGATACTTTTAGCCATAATTACCCATGGTCAGAATTTCTGGTTTATATTCAGATACACTGACTGTGGAACCATATGTGCAAGGCATGGACCTATGGTCCTGCAACCTCATAGCTGTCAAAAAGAAATACAGAGGTTTTTTGTCACTCTTTTCAGAGCTTTCTGTTTTCCTCCTCTCCTATCTGAGAAACATTTGGTTCTCAGAACCTTATGCACTAGCTGGGTATCTTTCGTTGGTGTCTTACATTTACTTTTACAATCTGTTGTGTGGGATGTTTAAAACGAACATAACTAGTCTATGGGGCATACTAGGCCTATTTGGAGGGCTGAAAGAAACAAACAGATAATTAGACAAAATGTTGAAAATAAATGTTTCTCTGACTGTAGGCTATGAATTGGACTGCATTCATCATTTAACATTTAGCTCCCACACATTTCTATAACCATCAGAACACAAGTCCTAGGGCGCAATCCTCTACCCAGGCTTTGCCGACACATGCAGATCTTACAACGCCTTGATAGGTATTTTATGTAGACCTATCAGCTAATCACATCATCTATTTTAAAAGCAAACTGTGGAATGGAACATGTGAGATGTACCCTACCTGAGCCACATGCCCTATAAAAAATATGTTTCAAACTGTTGTTTGGTCTCTACTTCACTCTGCCTGCTCAACCCAGATCCAAAAGAACATGTCCCTTTTGCACCACGTGACCAATACAAAACCACAGGTGAAGAGAAGTCCCACCAATCGAGGGTATGGGATACTGCTTGGAAAATGTGGGATGGGAAGATCGTGGAAGTGGATGCTGAGTTCGAATTAAGCAGCACGTCGAGCAAATTTGGTGAAGACTTATGTTCTGAATGGACAACAGTAGTATCGAAAACTGGAACAAAAAGGAAATTGTCTAAAATTGGAGTGGAGAATACGTGTGTAAATGATAATGAATCGCTTCTTGTTGGGATGTGTTTGTTGAGTAAGGATGCATATGTGGGAAACCCGTTTGAGGTGTCAAATGGTGAAGTATGTGCTTGGAAAAGTATAGTGCGTTAAAGTGACCAGGAGTGGTCTTATTTTGATTAATTGTATTTCTGAAGAGCAGAGGAAGATTGCAGTGGGCCTCAAAAGAATCCGGACAACAGAAGTTTCGTGTATTGAACTTCGGAGTAGAGCACCTGTCGAAGGAGTCATCTCAGGGGTGACGACGGATGTTCAGGTTGAATACCTGAAGATAATCCCTGGTGTGGTTGGTGCCCGGTGTCTGACCCGCTGGGTGAATGGAGGAAAAGAAGAAAGTCTGTCGGTCCTGTTGTTTTTTTATTTAGAGCAAATAACTACGCATGTGAAGCTTGGTTATGTAAGATACGCCGTAAGAGCTTTCGTCCCCAAACCACTGCAGTGTAAGAATTGTAAAGGATTTGGACATGTTTCAAGTGTGTGCAGACGAACAGAGTATACTGAAGAATGGTGTGTAGAAGGACGACAGTGTTGCAATTGTGGTGGGGATCATGATCCTGAGTTCCTGGAGTTCCCTGTAAGGGTGAAGGAAATTGAGGTGACGAAAGTTAGAGACGTCAATCGAATCTCCTATGTGGAGGAGATAAAAGTATTTTAGAAAACAAGTGATGCGAGTGAATATATGGTAGTGGATACACCACAGCCTGTAGTAAACACCGAGCTCAGCATGACCTTGGGGAAGCTTTGGCGGTCAGTAGAGATAACGGAATGTACATATGTAATGGGGGATATAATACATATTTGCGTGCGTAATGTGCCTGCATAGAACATGTTTGGTGCCAGACAAAAGATACCCTGTGTGTTAAAAAAGTGGATTTTGTTGCGTTCATTGATACAGTTATAAACTGTACAGCACAAGTCTCAAAGAAGTTGAAGAAACTGGACATTATTGTGGCTGCTGCAGAAAAGTTTTTGGGACTCAAGGATTTTACATCTGAAGACTTGCAAGGGGTACTGGCGCCGGAAGACCCGCAGTCCCAGGTTCCCCTTGAACCTGTGTAGGGATCCGATCGGTTATATTTATTTTGTTTGTTTATTTATTGGTCGTTTTTTGGTAGTTACGTTTTTTGGGGGAATCCTGTCTGCATCCTGCATAGTAGGTGGCGGGATGCACATGAAATTGGTGTGATCGCCAATATACCATAGAAGAAGCCCCACCAATCACACAATTTATGTTGCAGGCAGATTTTGCAAGACACATCTGCTGTTCAAGGGTGTTAGGCTACTGTACGTAATTTGTTCGGCAACACTATCAACGTGCGATAGATGGGCTTTCCATTCCAAGGTAATCATGTGCAACGCATGGATTTTTCAAAACGCAGACGCAACGTGTCTAGACCCTCTTGAACGAGCCCTCTGATCACGTGGTTTCTAGAGCGTCAACCAACATGGCGACTTCCAGTGAGAGTTCTGAAAGTACTTTGAGAAAAAGACGCGTCGAAACATTTAAAACAACGACACATTCAGATGACGACGACCCAAAGAATGAAGAGGACACTTGCAAAGCAAAAAATAAAGAATTGGTTACATTGCAAACCGGGACTTACTGGCTCACTCGAATTGTGCTTCTACGTTCCATTACTTTCATCTACTGTAAGTAGATTTTTTTTAAAAAGTCATTTAGCAGACGCTCTTATCCAGAGCGATTTACAGGCGCAATTAGGGTTAAGTGCCTTGCTCAAGGGCACACCGAGAGATTTTTCACCTAGTTGGCTCGGGGATTAGAACCAGCGACCTTTCGGTTACTGACACACCGCGCATAACCACTAAGCTACCTGCCGCCCTAGTTCGAGTGTGACATTCTGACAATGTAGCGAGTTATGATGTACTGGCATTGGCTATATTATTGTCGTCAGTTTTCATGTGTGTGTATTGTATGGTGGTAGTTGGAGTTAAAACCAATTTAATGTTTAAGTAGGCATGGACATGGACACAATTCACATGACCATTTACCAAGAAACATAGCAATTGTTCTCATGTCACATTCTTAAATGAACCAGACAGTTCTAGTACTCATAAACCTATCTTTATTCACCTCACACTTCCTCTCTCTTTCTCCTCCCTCCCCCTGTAGTCATTGCATTCACTGTTGCCTACAACCAGAACAAACAGCTGATAGGAGAGCGAGGCCTCTTGCCCTGTAAGGATTACCTTCTCAGTGTGAAGCGCTATGTGGGGGGGAAGATCGATATGTCTGCCTTCGCCTACACTCCCTCTATCCTGTGGTTCCTGGACTGGACAGACATGGATGCCAACCTGGATGGCATTGCCCTGGTGGGGATGGCGTTGTCAGGCTTTGTGTTGCTGACTGGCACTGCCAACATGATCATCATGGCCATGCTGTGGGTGCTCTACCACTCTCTGGTCAGCGTGGGGCAGATCTGGTGAGTGATGGGTTGGTACACACCACAGGAGGTTGGTGGCACCTTAATTGGGGAGGACGGGCTCTTGGTAATGGCTGGAGCGGAATGAGTGGAATGGTATCAAATGCATCAAACACATGGTTTCCATGTGGTTGATGCCATTCCATTTGCTCCGTTCCAGCCATCATTATGAGCCGTCCTCCCCTCAGCAGCCTCCACTGGTACACACACAGACACTGCTGTCTATGTTCCATGTGTGTGGTAAGGTGTAGTTTACGGGGTTGTGTCTGGGCCAGTGGGAGGGGGACCCAGTAGTGAGTGAGAGAACATGTTGATGGGGCCTCTGTGTTGTGGGTAGAAGATAGTTCAGTCTCGAGTCTGTGGGAAGGATGGACAGTGCAGCAATACAGACAGACAAACACATGGCCGTCCTCCCTCATTCTCTCAGCTCTCTTGAAGTTCTTAGTGGCTCTGAAGAATAAGATGAGGAGCGTAGACAACTAGACATGTGACATTTTCAAAATTCAAAAGAAATTACTAAAGACATTTTTGGAAATTGTTCACTATCTACTTCTTATGTTCTGAATGAAAAAGGTTTATTTGGAGACATCAAGGCCATCATGCCAACACTGATTCAGTTAGCTGATTAGTCTAAAAGGGTCAATACTGGTATGTCCCACTTTTTAGTCCAGTGTGTTTAATAGGAGTAAGTCAATTTATTTATCAACACTATTCAGGGTTTAATCTTTATAAACTTCTGACACTTACATGTAATTTGATATGTACGATTGTGGGTACAGGATTGCTATTTGCCAGTAAGTGCTTGGTACAGAATGTAGGTTAGGCCAACTCTAATCAGATCAAAATATCTATTTTTATGCTGATCTATGACATTTTTTCCCTCTCCTTACAGGTATTCGTTTGGTAAGTTAACTTCTTACTTTCAATTACATTTGTAAGACTACAACATCCATCTGCACCTGGGCCCGGTTTCCCGATAGCGATGCAACTTACATGTAGGCTTCCAAGTGTTTTAACGATGCATCAATCCTACAACGGCCGAAGATGTAACATGCGTTTCCCAAAACACCTCGCAGTTTGCTAAGCGCGTCGTTGGAGCATGTGTCAATACTGATCGAATCTAAAGAAAGGCAGCACTGCTCTCGGATCAGCTTTCTCCATTTAAATCGTACCTTTTAATAAGAATTATTCCACAATACTGACGACAGATTAGGTCCTAGACCTAGTGAGATATTATCACCTATATATGGCTGCAAATATTGAGGCAGCTCAGCTAATGCTTACCCTATAATAGTGCACTAAATCACTGATTTGGCACACTAAATCACAGATTTGGCACATCATTGTACACGTTGTTACACATTATGAAATATATTGAGGCAAAAATGACAGCCATAGTGTAGCCTACAATGAGCAAAATAGAACTCAATTGACTAAAAGGGATACTTCGGGATTTTGGCAATGAGGCCCTTTATCTACACCCCCAGAGTCAGATGAACTCATGGATACAATTTCTATGTCTCTGTGTCCAGTATGAAGGAAGTTAGAGGTAGTTTTGCGAGCCAATGCTAACTAGCGTTAGCACAATGACTGGAAGTCTATGGGTATCTGCTAGCATGCTTGCTAGCAGATACCCATAGACTTCCAGTCATTGTGCTAATGCTAGTTAGCAATTGCGCTAGCGCTTGTTAGAAACTTAATTCAAACTGCATGCAGAGACAAAAATGGTATCCACGAGTTCATCGGACTCTGGGGAAGTAGATAAAGGACCTCATTGCCAAAACCCCGAAGTATCCCTTTAACATGAAATTGATTTCAAAATGATTGAAATAGAAAGGCCTTTGTAGCCTATAGGGTATTTATTTTGTTTATGCAGTCATCTCGGGTTTTCATTTGAAGCATATTTATATCCTTCTCTTGTTTGTAACAATTGCAAACACACTGGCAACTGTGAAGGCCTATTTGTAGTCAACAATTCGTTCTGGTATTGGCAGTCACAGAGAGAGACATAGTGTTTATACAGCTTGATTCTATGTTTAGTGGAGATCTTCTGTGTATAAAGTGATGCGGAAGGGCAAAAAAGCATCTAGCGACGCACTTAGCTGTCCTACCAGTGGTCGGTAAACAACGAGCGTTTTCAAGTCTGTCCTACCAGTGGTCCTCTGTAGCTCAATTGGTAGAGCATGGCGCTTGTAACGCCAGGGTAGTGGGTTCGATCCCCGGGACCACCCATACATAAAAATGTATGCACACATGACTGTAAGTCGCTTTGGATAAAAGCGTCTGCTAAATGGCATATTATTATATTATATTATATTATCTTGAGTAACGATGGTTTTGGGAAACAGCGCTGAGATTTAAAGATGCTCCTACGAAGGTTCTAACGATGAACTTAGCCTTAACATGCTTTTGAGAAACCAGGCCCTGGACCTGAGATTCGTAACAGCCTGCTCTTTGTCACTCCACAACCTAGCTCTTGTCTAACCTTCCCACAACCACTACAGAGTCCTTGTTTTCCCCTTTCCTTTGATTAAGCAATCACATTCAGCTCAGATGTGTTAATATGATCTGGACCTGCGTCATAGTCGGAGGTTTGGGATGACTACATTTCAATACATAATCTCATCATCGCTCTGGCGATGGTCGAGGTCGTCAGCACTCAGCTGACATGGTTTAATGCCCCTCACTGGTCTCTATTGACAAATTGGCCTACTGGCATAGAGATCAAAGTCAGTGTATCATGCCACCCAAAACCCCATTATCCTCAGACCTCAGTAAACATCTGGCCCTGGGTGGGCCTGGCTGTATTCAAAACGTGTCTCAGAGTAGGAGTGCTGATATAGGATCAGTTTTGTAATTAATATTATTATATGGACAGGGAGGACCTGATCCTAGATCAGCACTGCCCAGGGTTAGCAGATGTGGCTGGTTCAGCTTCAGCTGGTCTTTGTTGCCTGCGCAGGATTCCTCAGTTGTCATCCCAGTCACTCAATTCATCAGACTGTTGAGGTTTTATGGGACCAGTTCTCTAATCTTTCAGACGGAGTAAGGGTGTCCAATTTAATCGCAGCAGGGCTGAGTGTAAATAGTTCAGATAAGAGCCCAGGTCAATTTGACCTCTCTGATTGGTTAATGACAATTTGGAGTGAAAGACGCCAGTCGGAGGTCTGTGGTCAGGTTTTGTGGTCTCTTTTTTTCTCCTTTCTCGTTCCCTCGCTCATTATACAGAATACCTGTTTATCGAGGAAATCAAACACTGTAGAGACAGTGCTAGTTAAAATAAATTAAAACAGAACCAAGAAGAAATGTATTTCCTCCTTCTTTAGTCCTTAGACTGTTCAACTACAGACTCTGTGTCCCTCGATATCTCTACGTCTTTGTCATTATCTCTGTCTGCACTGTAAATCCATCTCTGGCCTCCTCACCATACTGTGGTTTCATGTCAACTGAGCAGGGCTACAAAAACCGTCTTTGTTAGGAGGGGCGAACAGGCCAACAGCTGCACAGATCACACTGGATCTCTCTGAAGAGAAACTGGAGCAGGTGGGTCTTCACTACAGCCCTCTGCTGCATTCACATCACGCCAGTCTGTGGAATTAGATCGACTGACATGTTTGTATCGTGCATGAGTGCATGGCCTCACACACCCATGACGGCACACGTGCACTACCTCTGAACCTTTTCACTTTACATTTATGAACAAGCCTGCAGTGTATGGCCATCAGGACATATGCACATAGCCAGAGGTTGTTATCTGTGGTCATCACTGTAGAATGACAGATGTTTGCATAGACAGATGGGTAACTGGCCCTACATCACTTCTACAATTGCAGCTGGCCATATTTTGGTTATTCAAAGCATCCCCGGCTGCTCTCCTTGCTTTAACTGTAAGTAATGCTTCAGAATGGTGAGGGCAGCTCAGAGTATAACATAAAATGCAAAGTGACATGCAAAAGGGGAATTTGCATTTTTTTGTTATCCACTTTTTAACTCTCCCCGGCCTTAACTTTTAGACTTTCCCTACTTCATCACAGATGGGGTAACTGAGTAGCTTCACTGATGTATGTATCCATGCTGCATTCACATGCTGAGAGATGTGGTAACCTTTGACCTTTGCCGCACTTGTCCTTTACCAATCGCCTTTTCTCTCATATATCCCATGTCTTCATCTCTCCTGCCCCTTAGTCATCTCGTTCCATATCTTGGGCCCTCTCATTCTCCTTCTTTACTCACACACACAAACACTGTCACTCTATATTCTCTCCACATCTGCTTGACTATTCGTCATGCCCCTGTCCTTTTTCTGTAACCCCTGTCTCCTGTTCTCCCTCTCCCTGACGTCCTTTCTCTGAACATTTGCTCTCTCTCTCTGTCTGTCTCTCTCTCTCTCTCTGTCTGTCTCTCTCTCGCGCTCTCTGTCTCTGTCGCTCTCTGTCTCTCTCCCCCCTTTCCTCTCACTTCTCCCTCTCTGTCTTCAGGTTGGGAGAGTCAATTGTTGGAGACAGGCTTCTTGGGGATCTTCCTGTGTCCTGTGTGGAGTCTGTCCCAGGTGCCCCCCGCTGCCCCCCCTCGCTGATCTCCATCTGGACCTTCCGCTGGCTCATCGTCCGGATCATGCTGGGCGCCGTGAGTGACACACACGCACACGCACACAAACCTATCACACTGACACTGAATTCCCCTCATAGTCTGTGGGGGAAAAACGGTTGGAATTGTTTGTGATTTGTCATTTGCCTTGTTTATAAGAAAAGTATCTACTGGGCTTAGACACTTCTCTATGGTAAAAAAAAACACCACCCCAAAGAAAAACATACGTTGTAAATGCAAATATGGAACCAGTCAGTCAGGCAACTTGTTTGCCACTTTTATGGTTTAGTGGAGAGAGAACACCCAACCCAGTACTGTTGTCTTTTAAAATCGTGGGGGTTGAAACTTGCCACAATGCCCAAAGTGTTTTTTCAATTAGGCCCATAAAGAGGACGGAGCAACGAGGGAGCTATATGTTCATTCAGCTTACCTCACTGCCAAGAGTATGATTGACTTTAAGTGCTTACAACTGTACAAGCCCCTATAGTAAATTCCCCTAGACACAAAGTCATTACAACACATTTATTAAAAACAGAAAAGCACTTTAGGTCCCCTCAGACATGGCTGAGGCTTAACCAATAAGCAGCTATTTAATCGCGGGGTAATCATGATTTTTATTGTGGTCAGGGCAGCTAGGGTACAAATGGTTTTTTTCTATAATTGAAAGCATATCGTTTAGAAAATTGACTCAGAGCTAGATTTTTGGATGACATTAGGTTCAAGTTGAAACCTTTTTAGGAAATTCTTGTCAAGTCTGAAAGTCTTAAATTCCTTAGATTGACACTGGCAGTGTAAATACAGTATAGTACATTATAAAGGCCATGCTACATTCACTCAGTGTTTGTCATTTAAGAGTTGGTTAGACTAGGTCAGGGTAATCTATCCTGTGGTCTGTGGTTGACCACTGTTAGACTGCTATTGAGAACCCTTTAAGTGAAGGGGACGTAGCCAGTAAACTTTGAAGGGACCCTAAGGAAGATTAAACTTTGTCCAGAGCGGTTTCATGTTCGGATTCTGAAACCATCAGTTTATAACCTAGTTCATTGATTTTATTTCTCAATGTCTACTTTCTGTCAATTTGATCCAATCTCGATTGCGTATGCTGTCAAATGATTTAGAATTTGTGAATAATGGTGATATTGTGGACATCACATTTTCTTCTTTGCTAATTTCCTTCAGCAGATTAAACAGATTCTCTCTTTTTAACGACTTTACAAGTCAGGCTCTTCCTCACATGCTAATAATATCCCTCCTGGCAGCACACTTCTTTCTCGTCCCCTGTTTCTCAATGGTTCCTCTGCTTTTGCTTTAAGCTAAGTTTGCGTGTGTGCAAACACCTCCTTTCATTTACTATCCAGGCGGTTTGCTAAGTGGTGCTAATGGGATTTGATGCACAAGGCAGTGTCTGTGTTTAAGCTGTGAAATATAATCATGGTAATCAGGGTGCTAGTGGGCTGGTGTGGTGCCCCATGATTGGGTGTGGTAGAGGTTGGACCTGGCCAGTAAACTAGCTGTCTCACAGCCTCGGCACAAGGTGTTACATCTCACACTCCTGCAGGAGGAACAGTAGGCCTAGTAGGAAGAGTGCACCAGGCAATAATGGAGAGCATCTGTACAGAAAGGATCTTCAGCCAACTGAATTCAGTCTTTGATTGTTCCTCTCAGTAGATCGTTACTACAGTATTATGTGCATCCCCCCCCCCCCCCCCCCCCATGCTCCTGTTGATTTGAAGAAATCCAGTAAAACTGTAGTACAGTAAAGTGCGTGTCTGGTTGGACTGTTCCATTCTACTTAGGGGTGATCACTTTGCGAGGAAGTGTCTCCTGCAGGCTGTTTGTTGGTTTGGCCCGTATCCATGTTGTTGTGTTTTTGATGTGTTTTGAGGTTGGCCCCGGCCCCAATTGGCCTCAGAGTTCTTTATTGTCTCGAAGACTGTTGATGGGACTTGGGACGTTGTTGGTAGGGGGACCTACACATAAAGCAATCATTGTTTTCCAGTATTGGGAATTACCGATGGTGAGAGGTCAACGTAGCATAAAAAGTTGACACAGAATAAAAGACTCACTGTAATGTAGTTGATTGCATCCTGCGGAGAAACATATTGTTCATGTTTGAAGGTTTCTGGCAGTGTTTAACGCCTTCCTGTTTAGGCGGTTGGCAGGGGCATCGATGCGTACCTTTAGGCAGTTGGCAGGGGTGTTCGGATTTAGGACGTCCCTTGGCCCCTCTCTCTCTCTGGTCAAGCCCAGAGCCACGTCACTCTTTCATTTACTGTAGTCAGAATGAACCCCTGACGCCAAATGAAAGTTTTCTCTTTTTGGAGGAGAGAAAAATATGCTAAATATAAGTATATTATAGGCTTTTTCCATTTGTAGGGAAATGGTTGGTGGCTTGATCCAGTGTGCAACTGGTAACTGACTGTCTATGGAAGCCAATGGCTGCCAGTGGGAGAAAGCAGTGTGATTGTTTCTGTGGTTCTGACACTGATGTTTGGTTATCACTGAGTGAGTTCCGTTTTTAGGAAGTATCGCCACTGTAGGAAGCATAGTAAAACAAAAAGAAAATCGAAACCCCTATCCCATTTATCTTTCTTGTATGTGACAGTTATCAGCCGTACAGTACCTACATTAGCGTATCATGTCGGCTAGCAGGGAGTCTGTCTGTTTTTACGACTGTCCCGGGTCGACCTGCTTTTTCTAGGTCTGGGTAGTGCTAATGACATCCTCAGGGCCTGCTTACCTCAGCCTACCCAGCCTCTCTCTCTCTCTCTCTACTCAGTCCCTGACTTACAGCCTTCCAAACCAGCCACGACACTTTCACCACTCACTCTCTTTTCCACCATACCCTACTTTTATTGTCGGGAGTCTGCATAAATCTCAGCGCAGCACCCAAACAGGAAATGGACGGACATGCTCGCTGTCGTTTGCATATTTGCGAAGGGCTCCAGCCAATATGCACCTGGAGGGCAGGAGTTCTGTGGTTCGGTGTGGATGGATGGAGCCCAGTGCTATGGAACAAAACGCTCAAGTGGTGTTTTATTGGAGTCGCATGCGTCGACTCAATTTGTCATGGACAGGATTTTTTTTTATGGTGGCTGACAAATTTCATGGGATAATGGCTGCCTGCACCCACCTGCTCACTGTTTTTTATGCTATATAACTGTTCTCATATCTTCTCTTGTGTTGTTAACAACACAAACCACTACTTTAGTGACAACTCCATCTCATATAAAAGGAGAAATTTGATGGCTTAAAAAATAGCTTTGTAATGGTCAATATTTTCTAAGCCTGTTACAATTCCTACATTACTTCAGAATTCCAATATCGTTACCTTTCCATTAAACGATTGTCAAAATGGCCTCCCTAATAACATTGCAGTCGAACGACGGTTCTCTGGGGAATGGGAAACTGGCCTACTCCATGGTCAGAATATGGGACAATATACTCAGATCCTCATGACTGAATTGGATTATAGGCATTTTGTACAAGTCAACACCCAACGATTTATAAGCAGAATATAATGCCCTGATAACCCCAATGTGGCCTAACAAAGTTTAACAGAGTTATTGTGCATTCCGTGACCCATGACAAGCAATGTGTCAATAGAGACAGTCTCATGTCCTGGCTGCACATTCTCACAGAGCATTAATGCTGATTTATTTGGCTAAATAAGAGATTTTATAAGGACAGAAGTTTGCTTGTATCTTTGCTGCTTCTTCTGGAGTTGAAGTCTCAGTACTTTTTATTGGCTGTTGTCTTCTCGGAAGAAATAAGGATTTAAGCGCTTGACCTCCCAAGGGCTCTATCAGGTTGTAGTTGATTATACATTGCCAAGACAGACTAGTCCAAGGCCGTCTTCCAGTCAGTCATTCAACCCCTCACTTTGACCAGGACTGCTACCTCTCTTCAGGCTTTATTCTGGGGCTTAAATTGCAGTTGATGTTGCACAACAGTGAGTTATTACCCCCTAAGAACTGTTGTTTAGATCCGTCATGGTCCTCCAAGTCTTTAATTCGTCTTCTCTTTTGGCTCTGTGTTGGCAGAACAGAACACAACAGAACAACACTATTATTCAAGTTCACCATAGCACATTGTTAGCACGGGTCACTGACGAAGAAGCACATCTGCTAGCACTTAAATAGAATAGTCATGATGGCCCTCCGTCGCTGCAGGTTGTAAACAATCCCATTTGAAATGGCATTAGGACAGCAGGCAGACAACAAAATGTATCCTGGTTAGGTTTATAGCCCAGCTGATAGGTGGAGGGTAACGCAGGGGGGTAGAGGAGGGGGGATCATTTTCAAATGAATGGAATCACATTTTTCAAGCGAGAAAGTACATTCCCTGCGCGTTGATTAGATTATCTGTAATGTTATAAATGCAAGAATGCTCGCTGATAAATTGCAAAAGTAACCCATGAATTTAGGCGTCCACCGTCAGCGAGCGCATCTACCCCTCCACTATCCCTCCAAACCTCTATCCCTGCTACCCCCGGGTTACATCAGCCTGCAATATAGAGCCTGATTACACCAATCAGCCTCTATTGCATTAGTGGAGAGGGACAGAGAGGCCTTTAGGACTGGTCTGTGTGGTGCATGAGAGACCATTGAGGAGAGAACCTATGCATGAGCTCTGACTGAGCCATGTGTGTGGCTGCACGCGCTGGTAATTGCATTGGTTCATAGGTTTGTGCAAAGAACAGATAGAGATGTGGCTTTGAGTTCTCTGGGGCATCCAAAGAGGAAACACAAGTCGGAAAACGAGTAAAGACTACTTTCTCCCCCTTGACTGTTTTCTGAGTCAGTCGTAATGTTCGGAAGGTCATTTAAGTGATGGATCACTAACCAGCTTTTAATTCCAATTTTCCCGCTCCCTGGTGCTAGTCTTTTCAGTGCTGCTTTTCATTTCCTCGAATTGGAGATGAAATCAGAGCCAGATAGCTTAATCACAGCACACGTCAGCTCTTGTCCTTCCTCATTTTTCACTTCATTTAATGTGATTACGCTCAATTAAATTAATTAATTAAATTAAATCCAGCTTCATATCCGTCAATACATCCCTCTCTCTCGACAGAAATCCCTCGCTCATTCAGTTGCATTAGTAATTGAGTCAGAGAACTTGAGTACTCATTTTTACATTTGAGTCATTTAGCAGACGCTCTTATCCAGAGTGACTTACTGTAAGTAGTGAGTGCATACATTTTTATACTTTTTCATACTGGTCCCCCGTGGGAATTGAACCCACAATCGTGGTGTTGCAAGCGCCATGCTCTACCAACTGAGCCACATGGGACACAAACCGGTCGTTACGAAACCAGCTGCACAATCTCTCTAGACATGGAAGTTTGTCAGCTTGTCTCACATCTTCCTGTCTAAAGGTCTCTTGTTTGTTTGTTTGAATATCATGGAGGCCTAACATATACAGTGCATTTGGAAAGTATTCAGACCCTTTCCCTTTTTCCACATGTATTAAGAATAAAAAACGGATACCTTATTTACATAAGTATTCAGACCCTTTGCTATGAGACTCAAAATTGAGCTCAGGTGCATCCTGTTTCCATTGATCATCCTTGAGATGTTTCTCCAATTTGATTGGAGTCCACCTGTGGTAAATTCAATTGATTGGACATGATTTGGAAAGGCACCCACCTATCTATATAAGGTCCCACAGTTGACAGTGCATGTCAGAGCAAAAACCAAGCCACGAGGTCGAAGGAATTGTCCGTAGAGCTCCAAGACAGGATTGTGTCGAGGCACAGATCTGGGGAAGAGTACCAAAAAATGTCTGCCGCATTGAAGGTCCCCAAGAACACAGTGGCCTCCAACATTCTTAAATGGAAGAAGTTGGGAACCACGAAGACTTCCTAGAGCTGGCCGCCAGGCCAAACTGGGCAATCGGGGGAGAAGGGCCTTGGTCAGGGAGGTGACCAAGAACCCGATGGTCACTCTGACAGAGCTCTAGAGTTCCTCTGTGGAGATGGGAGAACCTTCCAGAAGGACAACCATCTCTGCAGCACTCCACCAATCAGGCCTTTATGGTATAGTGGCCAGACGGAAGCCACTCCTCAGTAAAAGGCACATGACAGCCTGCTTGGAGTTTGCCAAAAAGCCCCTAAAGGACTCTCAGACCATGAGAAACAAGATTCTCTGGTCTGATGAAACCAAGATTGAACTCTTTGGCCTGAATGCCAAGCGTCACATCTGGAGGAAATCTGGCACGGTGAAGCATGGTGGTGTCAGCATCATGCTGTGGGTATGTTTTTCAGCTGCAGGGACTGGGAGACTAGTCAGGATCGAGGGAAAGATGAACGGAGCAAAGTACAGAGAGATCCTTGATGAAAACCTGCTCCAGAGCATTCAGGACCTCAGACTGGGGCAATGGTTCACCTTCCAACAGGACAACGACCCTAAGCACACAGCCAAGACAACACAGCAGTGGGTTCGGGACAAGTCTCAATGTCCTTGAGTGGCCCATCCAGAGCCCGGTGAGACCTGAAAATAGCTGTGACACTCCCCATCCAACCTGACAGAGCTTGAGAGGATCTGCAGAGAAGAATGGGAGAAACTCCCCAAATACAGGTGTGCCAAGCTTGTAGCGTCATACCCAAGAAGATTTGAGGCTGTAATCGCTGCCAAAGGTGCTTCAACAAAGTACATTTACATTTTACATTTAAGTCATTTAGCAGACGCTCTTATCCAGAGCGACATACGAATTGGTGCAAAGTACTGAGTAAAGGGTCTGAATACTTATTATTATTTTATATATTATTTCCGGGGGGGTTTTCTATACATTTGCAAAAATGTCAAGAAATCTGTTTTTGAATAAGGCTGTAACGTAACAAAATGTGGAAAAGGTCAAGGGGTCTGAATACTTTCCAAATGCACTGGATATTATTCATTTTGATTGACATGTAGGGGCAACTTCACAGTGTGCCTTAACACTAGGCTTAGAACGAAGAGAAGTATATTATAAACAACTACAGACCGACAAAGCTGCTACTAGGAGCTGTTGAAGTGGACAAGACACAGTGCCACAGTATTTAATGCCCAGTAGGGTTACCATAGATGGACTGAGCTCCTCTATGGCCTTGTCTTCATCTAGCCAGCCACACACACACACTGTGATGGTTTACCTCAACAGACAGAAAGTGGAAATTTAATTAGGGCAGGATAATCTTCCTGTCCTCTTTTCAATACAACAAACGTTCTCTTCATTTGTACAGACAGACAATACTACATTTTATAAAAGGCTTGAATGGAGACAGTTTATTCAATCACAACAAATAGATTCTTGCCTTGGCTGTATACAAATGTTTATTCTGTCAGAATTGACGAGCAGAAAGAGCCTTTATGCAACAGGTTGTTTTTCATCATACTCTTCTTGAGACACTGCTTTGAGTGCCTCTTTGTGAATAGCTATGCTCTCACCATTAGCTAGCCATTGGCGCTTCAGAGTTAACCGCTAGCTAGCTTGCTAGTGCTAGCTAGGTACCAACACAAGTCATCTGCAGCTTGGGCCATCATGACGTAGATTGGTTGAATACGGAGTCACTCTTATCTAATAGACATACAAACTATATCATACCAGCCCACATCTTGCAATCCTTCAGAATTGGTTGTGATTGATAGCACACCCTCCTACTGTCATGGTTCATATTGAATGATCACTGATTATATACTGTATTGACATGGTAGTAGGCCTGAAGTTTTGGTTTCATGGTCATTTAGAGGATGTTACATTAGATACAGACCGATCCAATACACAATCTACTGATTTTAATGCAGAATGTAGGTCAATTGGAGCAGGACATTTTATTACACTATGTCCCAATGATATGCTATCCATAAACCTCACAAACTAACACACCTGGACAGGACCACTGGGATGGAAAAGATGGAGGGTCCCATTTTAAGTTATACTGTGTTTTCTGCACCATCAAAAATGTCACCTTCAGTTGAGCTGAGTGATTGACACGTCGTCTTCTCTGCAGGGGCTGATCAAGATCAGAGGGGACCGCTGCTGGAGGGACCTTACGTGCATGGACTACCACTACGAGGTCTGTGTGTGTCTCTGTGCGTGTGTGTGTGTGTGTGTGTGTGTGTGTGTGTGTGCTCAGTGCAGTACAGTTCCCTCAATCCTTGTGGGCCGTGCTTGTTGGCATCTTGTCGTCAGGGCTTTCCCATGGCCTGTGCTGTACTGGGTCGTGCAGAGTTCAGGCCATGGCAGATGATTCTTATCAATTGCCTGTTGTCCCTAACTGGGTTAAACTAATCACTTTATTATCTATCTTCCTGTGCCACACCATTGGATCGACTGCTCCTGTCTGGCTGGCCGAGGACAGACCAGTGCTTCCCCAAGCTAGATATTCTCCCCAGGCTAAACAAGAAGCTTACACATACACCTAAACATTCGATTGAAACCGACTGAGGCAATGGTTTAAGACTTGGTCCTGGATAAGAAATATTAGTTATGTTTACGTAGTGGGTGACAATACATTTCTTAAAACATATGATAGGATACAGCTCAGAAAAACATATTGGGAACCACTGTCTGCCACAACGGCTGCTAGACAAGCCTCATGTTGGGTTTTCTCCATAGGAAGGGAGCACACTGTGTCATTTCTAGACTATAAAGCACACAGCTGGGAGATGAGGCGGGATGAAGCATTTTGTCTAATGACAGAGACCAGGAATACACCATGTCTCCCTGGAGTCTGACTGACTATGGTTTTTTATGGCCTTGGAAAAAGTCCCCGAAAGGTCTACTGTCCTTAGGCTGGACTGCACTGATGCATACATACTGTACTGACATGCTCTGTCTGGGTAGAATTTACCCGCAGATCTATGATCAGCTTCCCCTCACCAAATCCTAACCTTAACCATCAAGGGGAGGACACGTTAAACTGACCTTGGATCGATGTTCATGGGCGACTTCATCCTACTCCACTCTAACCAACTACAAAGATTTTTAAGAGACTAATATTGACACTAGGAACCTCTCTTCATTGTACAGTATAGGAGGTTTCACTTCACTGCACTATACAGGTTTTAGCATATGACAAACCCATGCTTAGTCTGTTAGCCTTGTCCAGCACTGCTCCTCTTTGCTCTGTTTACAAGCACACCCGCGATAACATCTGCTAAACACGTGTATGTGACAAATAAAATTGGATTTGATTAGATTTGTTTGCCTGCTGGGTGGATTTCCCATTAAATGGGAAACATGGTTATTTTCTTTGGTCAATACGACTCCCTCTTTGATTTCTTTATGCCTGCCGTTTTAAGACCCTGCCTTTAGCAAGTTATAGGCCATAAAGAGTCATGATATAAGGAACAGACCAGTTGATTTGAGTTAACTGTGTGTTCAATGGCCTAATTTGCTGTCCTATAAGGGGGACAGACAGGGTGGGTGAAACATTGAACATACATTTAAAAGTCTAACTGGCCTAGCATGGCTTCCAATTTGTGGCCATGATTTTTTGATTTATGTTCCGTATTTGTGGGTTAGTGTTTGTCTTTGGCTGTTTGTTCATGTGTTTTTAAGTGGGTAAGTCTGTCCATGTTAATTTGTGTCCGTGTTAATTTGTCACTCCTCTAACTTATCAGTATTGTCATAATTGTTGCCTTTGAATTTTACCTCACCCCCTTACCATCTCCCTCTCTAAACCCTGTTAACTCAAAGGGACCTCTGTCAATGGACCATCACACCTATCTGAGAGAGTCTGCTGAGAAACAGGGGCCCATTGAGCCCCCTGTTACAGATACATCAGCCTACATTGTCAGGGCTTCACTTGGAGGCAAATGGGTTTCTGGCAGCAGTGGTGGTCAGCCAAGTTAACCTGTATAGATCAGAGACTGTTAATGATCGCCTTGTAGAATTTGACAAAAAGTGTTAAAATAAAGGAAACATTCCAATAGTGTTTGTGTTCAACCTGGATGTCCATGTTGTTTAACCTGGGGTTATGGAAAAGCATAAATGGGAGCCTGAGGAATCCGACTCAGTACCTCCATGCAGGCAGACAGGCCCATATCCCCTTCTAAACATTGACCTGCCAGCTCCAAACCTGTCAACACCCCCAGGGGTAAAGCAGATTAACATTTCACCCACCGGAAGCCAAGGGCGCCAGGCAAGGTTTGCCTGCCCCCCCCCTTGACCCTAACACACTGCTCCCTTTCAGCCTCCAATCTCTCAACTCACGGCAGGGCCACCCAGTGCAATGCATCCTGGGTAAGAAGTCTGCAGAGGCTATATGAGGCTGGCTGAGGGGGTTGGTGGGTGTTTAGTTTGTGTTAGTTTGTTTGCTGTGTGCATGCTGGGGTATGTTTGTCTCTCTCTCTCTCTCCTCTCTCTCCTCTCTCCCCCTCTCTCCCTCTACCTCTGCACTGAAAGAGCTCTCTCAGGACATTTCTAAAATAGGCAGTAGCTTTACTTAGCCCTGGAAACCTTCCTGAAGGTGTGGCGTTATAATTGTACACTGTTTCCCCACGCCATTCTGTTCCATGGTTTTATGCCAAAACAATGAGGGGAAAAAAACTTATTTTGAGCTATTTTACATTTATGATCAGCTACATTTCATGTTTGGCACAAGCTGTCATTTGGGCAATCATTGTAGCCAGTGGGAAAGTTGGTAGGGATGTTAAGTTACACAGTATCTCACTGCCATTGATCACCATGCAAATGCAGTCATTGGAGTGACACCAGGTAAATCCATGCAAACATAGAGGTCATTCAGTGTTATGTGGGATGATCTGCACTTTCATTAGCTTATCTGTACCATTAGATGCAAACACACACCTTACCACTCATGCTATGGTAATAACCTATCTTCCCTTTGTCTCTATCCCTTTGTCATTGCTCATATTTGAGTATCGATATGGTTATTTTCAAACTGAGACAAATGGATTTTTCCTTGACCTGGAAGTACTCATGTCGTAACCTCTGTGACGCCTGCGGTTGTGCTCTCCCTGGGTGTCAATCTGTGGTCCTCTCTGGCTCATCCCAGTTCTGTGGTTGATTGTGGTGGGTTAGATAGCCCCTCTCTCCAGGCCCCAAAATAAAGGAGTGAAGGTACTGACTCCCAGCTCCCCTCTGTAATGCCATCTCTGGAGATGTTCTGGAGAGTACTGTTGCTAACCACACGGTGCAATGCCTTGGTGTGTGTGTGTGTGTGTGTGTGTGTGTGTGCCTGCCTGTCTCCATCTGTCTGTATTCTGATTCTCTTTCTCCCTCCAGACTCAGCCGGTGCCAAACCCCATGTCGTACTATATGCACCAATCCCCATGGTGGTTCCATCGCTTCGAGGTTCTGTCCAATCACTTAATCGAGCTCATCGTCCCTCTCTTCACCTTCCTGGGGCGACGCATGTGCATGGTCAACGGGACGCTGCAGATAGTCTTCCAGGTGAGTTGACGGTAGAAACTGATTTGAGGTCAGTTTTGTTTTTCCCTATAGTGGTGGAGGTTAGGATTTTGGGAGGGTAACTGATCCCAGATCTGTGCCAAAGAATAAGAATTCCTGGAGTAGCTCTGACATCACATTGCCACCTGGTGGAACCATTGGTGCATGACAGCGGTTGTATGGCAACTGCAGTCATCAGTTTGATGAATGGAGTGTTATTCAGAGCCAGCTATAATTGAATGAATACAGGAAATCAGGACTTTCCCCGCTGCAGTATGCTGAACTATTAGCCAAAGTAGATGATCCTCATCGATTATATCTTTCTGGCAGTACCTTTGGAGGAATCTAAACACTACTCCTTGTCTTTTCTCCCCATCTACTCTCTCCTCCTTCTCTACCCTCCGTTTCTCCTCTACCCTCCGTCGCTCCTCCTCCACCCTCTCCTCCCTCTTCTAGGTGACTCTGATAGTGAGTGGGAACCTGAGCTTCCTCAACTGGCTGACCATAGTTCCCAGTCTGGCCTGTTTTGACGATGCATCTATGGGGTTCCTGTTCTCGTCTGGCCGAGGGGCCAAGCAAGCTGTACTGGACCTCCAGGCTGAGGAGGCTGCAGGACGGACCCCCAAACCCACCAGGGGTACCTCCTAAACAGACATGATTTCTCCTAAACGAGCCTAACCTGTTATCCATCATTCTGGGTATTTAGTATTCTCCTGGATTTCTGGGTATTTATTTTCAGCCAGTTGGTGTTACAGAGGCCCTGTTATCCTGTCTGGGTGTTTTATGATTGGGACTAATGATGGCAGGCAGAGAGAGGGAAAGGAGGTATTACACCAGCCTTTAACATGACTACCGCTCTACTGGGTAGGCCCGACTGCTCTGTGTGTGTGTGTGTGTGTGTGTGTGTGTATGGGTTCCCCTTTCCCACGTGCCAAGCTTAGCTGTGTGTGTGCATTTACAACCCCTAAGAGCAGTGATTGAGTGGGTCCACATGGGCACCCTCGCTGCCACCTCCACTCCCCACCCTCCAATCTCGATCTCCAACACCGACATCTGGCTGTAGGCACATCTGGAGCAGGCTAGCAGGCTATAGGGCCTTGACAGATGGTAGACAACACCAGGGTGCTGGCAGGGGGTATTAGGCATTACTAATCACACATTACCAATGTGACTGGGTGCCTGGCAGTTGGCACATGAACATAAAGGAAAGAGTTTACGATTTGGACATGATGGGAGGAGTATGGATTAGTGCTGGGACAGCTGAGGAGAGGGAGGAGGGAATGGAACGACAGAGAGACAGCTGGAGATGGCGTGGAAGAGAGTGATAGAGAGAGAGAGGAAGAGAGAGAAAGTTAGAAAGTGAGTGAGTGAGGAAGGAATGCCCATGTGGTGTGTAATAGCAGGAATAGGGTCTAGCTAATTGGTCTCCCAGGAATTGCTAATGGCTTTAGTTTTATGTTGGGTAATATCTGCTAAGTGGGCCTAAAATTCTCTATCTGCACTATGGCTGCTTTTTAGCATTTCTTTTGGTCATAAAAGTCAATTCTTTAAGTCAAACAACAGGTATAGTTCTGATGGATGGTTTTAACATGTGTGGGACGGGTTGGCATTTCAATCTGAGACAGGTAGTAGGGATTTGGAGCTGTCAGCTCCTTCAGTTGTCAGTGGCTAAATGCCTCATGACCTCATAGGCTAAGCCCCTCTCTCTGGCTACTGCCAGAGGGATCTTGAGTTCCACACACACAGGCACACACTTCCTCCTTTTTTTCATCTCCATCCTATGTCCTTCTAGGTATGCTTATTCGTCGAGTGGTGAATGTGGCTCTGGGCATTCTGATTGGCTACCTGAGTTTTCCTGTGGTGCTGAACCTGCTGAGCTCCAAACAGGTGATGAACACGTCGTTCGACCCACTCCGCATCGTCAACACCTACGGGGCCTTCGGCAGGTATCATTCTCCTCTTCCTCTCTCTTTTTATTTCAACACTTTCTACATCTCTCCACTTGATCAGTCCTAACTGCCACATCCTATCATTCTATTCTTCTCTGGTCATCTCTCCTTTTCTCTACTCTCTGCCATCCTTTTAAACTTTCCCTCTCGCCCTCTCTCTCTCCCTTCCTCCCTCTCTGTGCAGTATCACTAAGGAGCGGACTGAGGTGATTCTGCAGGGTACTCTGAATGCGGACCCTAAGGACCCAGAGGCTGTGTGGGAGGAGTACCAGTTCCTTTGTAAGCCAGGGGACCTGACCCGACGCCCATGCCTCATCTCCCCCTACCACTACAGGCTTGACTGGCTCATGTGGTTCGCCGCCTTCCAGGTACAGTCAGTCTGGGACTTAGCAAAGACCTTTGAACTATTGTACACGGCTCTAACTTGACATAAGAATCAGGGATTCTGTTTAATTTGTTTTACTGTTTGTTGGTTTTGTGGGACATTCATGCCTTGGATGTGTGCGTCTCCATCCCTGTCCAAAGTGCCTGCCCCACAAACAATGATCCCAATTGCCAACAAGCAGCGATTAACAGGGCTGTAAGATACTTACAGCAAATACCCACTGGGGGCGCACTAGTTTACATGTAATATTACTTAAGTATTTCCCTTATGAAACACTATTGAGTGTCTCATTGGTTAAAAGCTGGCTAACTCTGTGTCCCCATGGTCTCAGTCTGGACCCAGAACTACCTGCTCTGAGTAATTTCCTCTGTCTGGGCTAGCGGCCCACACTATTCTTAACTCCTGCTACAGCTCTCTCAGGTGTAGTTCTGGCCAGAGACTCGACCGTGTGGCTCGCTGTTTTATTGTCCCCTTCTCAGGGCATAGGGTTTCCCACTGGTTTACATCCAATCCCAGAACCAAGAAAAACCCAGTCAGACATTTTGGCAAGAGGGGGAAGGTTTATTATGTTGCAGATCGGCTCAATATCTGCTCAAAAGTTTGGAATGGTAGACTGCTTCAGATTGAGACGTCTTTGTTCGATATGACAGTTGATCTTTCACTCAAATGTCCCCGGTTTTTCTCTCATCTTCAGCACACCCTCTTTCTCCATGTATTTAACCCTCCTCTCTCTTACATCTTCTCTATCTCCTTCTCTCTCACTTTGTCAGACCTATGAGCAGAGTGAGTGGGTGATCCACATAGCAGGCAGACTGTTGGCCAACGACACATCAGTCCTTTCACTGATGGAATACAACCCGTTCCAGGGCAGAGACAACCCCAGGTACACTGACATTGACTAACACAGAGGAGAATGGTAGCCCTTTGTTTTAAAGCCCATAAACCAAGTACTCCACTACATGATAAAAAATGAAGATAAAGTAAATCAGTTTGATACGTACTATGTGTGAGTTTCTGTAGTACATACATTTCATATGATTAAAATGGCCAGAAGTTGCCGTTGGAGACAGCTGCATTGAAGGCGTAACCGATCTCAGCTGTGCTGTGCTGAGGCAGAATGGAAGTGGAAGGTTGTGTGTGTACGTTAGAATACATGCAAGCCTCACGTTCTCTTTAAATAAATAAAAGATAAGCCTTGTCCTCTAGCCCCCTCTAGTGGAATGTTTCCTCTCGAAATGAAATGTGTCCTTGTATTCTCGCTGTCAGTCACACTAACCATTCCTCTCTCCTCTCCCCACCCCCCTCTTCCTTCCCCAGGTGGGTCCGAGGAGAACACTTCAAGTATAGGTTCAGCCTGCCTGGCAGTGCCAGTGCTGCCCAGGGAAAATGGTGGGTGAGGAAACGTATTGGAGCCTACTTCCCCGCTGTGGATCTGGCTGCTCTCAGGGGATACTTTAAGTCCCGGAACTGGCCCCATCCTGACCTTTGACCTACTGTATGTCCAATCACACTGATGTACTCCATGAGCGATGGATGCCTGAGACACCAAGGTATCGCGCCCCCTTATAATTTGGGATCAAATACGCTATGAAAGCAAACATGTTGACATGTGGTCATTGGAGAACCCTGATATCGGGGAATTTCTGCCACTCTGAAAAAATGATATTCCATTTTTGTTCATCTATGTTGCCTTTCTCCAGCATGTCATGTTGCCATCTACTGCATGCACTAAAGAATGACCAATCCTTCCCGTGAATAGGGACATGCCACTGTGCCACAATAGGAGAGTTGAGGGGATGACCCACCGTCCATGTTGGGCTCACATTGCAAGACAGACAGACTGTATCATCATTGTGTCTTTTCATAATAAAAGGTATATTTTGGAACAATGCTAGACTTTTCATGTATTTTTGCCTTTTGTTTGGTACGCCTAGCAGGTTGTCCATCAACTGACCTAGTGGTTTAAATCATCCAATGAAAGAGGCTGAGTCCTTCCCTCAAATAAAGTGACTAGATTGACATTGCAGTGTTGTACTACATACAAATTCCCCTAACTGTTGTATGTCTTTGTGTTATGTGGATCTGATAGTGATCCAATGAATAAATGCATAAAAAGGGACTGTTCTCATCAGTGGAAGAAGTGTATCTGTCATCTTGCAGGTGTGTGTTCAGCCTACAGAGTTTGACAACCGCAACGGACAAGAACCCTGTTGAGACAATACTCCTACCAGTCCTTGCATCCCACAATGCACCTTTCTCCCAGCATGTCCATTTTTAATTGTGTTCACCTCATCACAAATACTTGAGCCACCTGCACTGTTTGTTTTCCATCATAGATGGTGTATACAGTCTGTTCAATATTGATGCCTACCTACACATAATTTATCTGCTTAAATCTGCTGGTTTCGCTATTTGTAGGCCAAAACATTTGGTTGCACCTGTGTGCCAGAACATACACGGACCAATTCTGACCCATTCTGTGGTAAGTTATCACTGAAAGATTTGGTCAACTACCTCTGTGAAAAATGTCTTATTATTCTACCTAGTTGTGGAGGTGATGGTGTTGTTGTCTGTACAGGCAGAAGTGAGCCATCCACATGGGTGTAGCTTTACTTTGATGTGTGCAGGTCCAGACTTTGAGCATCTGCTGCCTCTAATGAGGACTGCTAGTCATGCCAGCAGGACAGGACAACCTCATGTCCCTCACACAGTCCAAGTAAGAAACACAAAGTACACGCACAAATAAGTCACAAAACATTTTCTACTGTCTCAGAAGAGAATCAAATGCACACGCACTCAAATGAATAGGACGGGTGAATAGCCTATTTGAAAACGAATAATGTAGTGACCATAATACCATCATTTTTCACAGGCATTGAGTCCTGCTATTTGTATACTTCTTGACATGTTGACATAACCATAGTAGCCTTTGTTGTTATGGCACATTAGGGGGTTGGTGTCCCATCTTACCCACACCACTAGGACAAGCAATATCTTTTAGAATTTTAATCTATAGCTGACTGGGATCAATTCTTCTCTGTATGTGAATCATTCATGAAGTGGATAGGCCACTTGTGGTTAGATAAAGTACTTGATATTAGTCACTAGGAATACTAGGACAGAACAGTATACTCCAAATGTAATGTCCACTTGAAATAAAGAGGCTGTGACTACATTTTTTTCCTCTAATTGGTCTTTGACAAATCACAGATCTTTTCACGTCAGATGTTTTTCAGAGCTGATCTGATTGGTCAAAAGACATATTAGTGGAAAAAAAGATCCAATGCCGCTAGAGTGAGTCATACCATATACACTGAGTATACCAAACATTAGGAAAACCTTCAATGTTTTGTATACTCAGTGTATAGAGTGCCAAAGTCAGTCATAATACCCATAAAACATAGCGGTCAAACAGGGAAATGGTTCCAAATGTTTTTCCACCATTAATTTTTCCCATTGGGGATTTTAGAAACACTTAAAGTAAGGGCTTTGTTTCATGTAGGCTTACCCTGGCGTGACGTTTTGATAACCATGTAAATCTCTGTAGGACAAGGTGACTTTTATGAATATATTCACCTGTATTTACCCCCCAAAAATGAAATGCTAATTAGCTGCTAATGTAGCTATCATAAAGAACAACAAATTCTATGATGATCTGGCAAAGGTAAGAATCGAGGCAAAGATAAGAATCTCTGGATTAACTATCTAATGTTAACTAAATGTAGTAATGAATAAATTGGCAAAATGTATTTAAATGGACAATTCTGTGAACTGTCTTGTGCAAGTTTTAAATTGACAATGCCTGTTAGCAAAGGTGTCAGCTAGAGATGATGTGCAGGAGCTTGCAGGGATTTGTAGTTTTGCGTTATGTCTACTTTGATGCTTATTAGCATTTTCAAATCTGAGAGTAAATAGAGCCGAATATATTGATAAAAGTCACCTTGTCCGGGTGAGATTTACATGGTTATCAAAACGACGCGCCAGGCTAAGCCTACACGAAAGCCCTTATTTTAAGAGTTTTTAAAATCCCCTATGGGAATGGTGGAAAAACGATTGGAACCATTGCCCTGTTTGACCGCTAGGTTTTATTGATATTATGTCACCTCCACTGTAGGGCTCTATATGGATCATGTTTGACTACTGTAAGGCTGCGTTTATACAGGCAGCCCAATTCTGATATTTTTCCACTAATTGGACTTTCGACCAATCAGATCAGCTCTTTTGCCCATAATTGGGCAAAAGATCAGAATTGGACTGCCAGTTAAACATAGGCAGCCCAATTCTGATATTTTTTCCACTAGTCTTTTGACTAATAAGATCAGCTCGGAAAAATATTTAATGTGAAAAAGATCAAGGCTGCATTCAGTACGTTTTTAATGCTCTGGACCGTTCAATTGAATGGAAAAGGTGCTGTACTGAACGACCAATTGAAAAAACGGGGAGGGGTTGGTTGGAATGGGCTACAAGACCATCGCCAAGCAGCTTGGTGAGAAGGTGACAACAGCAGGTGCGATTATTCGTAAATGGAAGAAACACAAAATAACTGTCAATCTCCCTCGGCCTGGGGCTCCATGCAAGATCTCACCTCGTGGAGTTGCAATGATCATGAGAACGGTGAGGAATCAGCCCAGAACTACACGGGAGGATCTTGTCAATGATCTCAAGGCAGGTGGGACCATAGTCACCAAGAAAACAATTGGTAAAACACTACGCCGTGAAGGACTGAAATCCTGCAGCACCCGCAAGGTCCCCCTGCTCAAGAAAGCACATATACAGGGCCGTATGAAGTTTGCCAATGAACATCTGAATGATTCAGAGGAGAACTGGGTGAAAGTGTTGTGGTCAGATGAGACCAAAATGGAGCTCTTTGGCATCAACTCAACTCGCCGTGTTTGGAGGAGGAGGAATGCTGCCTATGACCCCAAGAACACCATCCCCACCGTCAAACATGGAGGTGGAAACATTATGCTTTGGGGGTGTTTTTCTGCTAAGGGGACAGGACAACTTCACCGCATCAAAGAGACGATGGACGGGGCCATGTACCGTCAAATCTTGGGTGATTTCCCTCAGCCAGGGCATTGAAAATGGGTCGTGGATGGGTATTCCAGTATGACAATGACCCAAAACACACGGCCAAGGCAACAAAGGAGTGGCTCAAGAAGAAGCACATTAAGGTCCTGGAGTGGCCTAGCCAGTCTCCAGACCTTAATCCCATAGAAAATCTGTGGAGGGAGCTGAAGGTTCGAGTTGCCAAACGTCAGGCTCGAAACCTTAATGACTTGGAGAAGATCTGCAAATAGGTGTGGGACAAAATCCCTCTTGAGATGTGTGCAAACCTGGTGGCCAACTACAAGAAACGTCTGACCTCTGTGATTGCCAACAAGGGTTTTGCCACCAAGTACTAAGTCATGTTTTGCAGAGGGGTCAAATACTTATTTCCCTCATTAAAATGCAAATCAATTTATAACATTTTTGACATGCGTTTTTCTGGATTTTGTTGTTCTTATTCTGTCTCTCACTGTTCAAATAACCCTACCATTAAAATTATAGACTGATCATGTCTTTGTCAGTGGGCAAACGTACAAAATCAGCAGGGGATCAAATACTTTTTTCCCTCACTGTATGTCACTCTTTGCTTCAAGCCACACCCACCAAACGGGAGCAAACGTACCTCCAGAAGTGTGTTCAGTTCGCTTGAACGTTTGCTACGTTGCGGAATGGTTTGTACTGAACGACCCGTTTCCCCAGAACGTTCTTGTACGTTCTTGAACAGACTTTGAGGTACATTTTCTCCCATTTGGTGGGTATGGCGAGGTGTGGCTTGAAGCCAAGAGTGACGTATTTAAAGGGCAGTGGCCATACTGACAGCGTTCCCCAACCCACCCCCTCCCCGTTTTTCAACTGGTCGTTCAGTACAGCACCGTTTACGTTCATTGAACGTTCCAGAACATAAAAAACTTACTGAACGCAGCCAAAGTCTGTTCAAGAATGTAAAATAACGTTTTGGAGAAATGTGTCGATCAGTAAAAACTGTTTGACCGCTAGGTTTTATTGATATTATGTCACCTCCACTGTAGGGCTCTATATGGATCATGTTTGACTACTGTAAGGCTGCGTTTATACAGGCAGCCCAATTCTGATCTTTTTCCACTAATTGGACTTTCGACCAATCAGATCAGCTCGTTTGCCCATAATTGGGCAAAAGATCAGAATTGGACTGCCAGTTAAACAAGGGCAGTGGCCATACTGACAGCGTTCCCCATCCCACCCCCTCCCCGTTTTTCAACTGGTCGTTCAGTACAGCACCGTTTACGTTCATTGAACGTTCCAGAACATAAAAAACTTACTGAACGCAGCCAAAGTCTGTTCAAGAATGTACAAGAACGTTTTGGAGAAACGTGTCGATCAGTAAAAACGTTCAAGTGAACTGAACGCACCTCTGAATTGGGCTGCCTGTCTAAATGCAGCCTAAGTGGTGTGGGTTGTGTGCAATTAAACTTCTTAAAGCTATAATATGTAACATTTTGCCCGACCTGACCAAATTCCCATAGAAAAGTGAGTTATAGATCTGTCATTCTCTAAGAAACGGTATATATGTTCTATGTGTGATATTTCTATGCTTCCTGTTCTTAAGTTTTGTTTTCGCATCACCAGCTTCAAAAAGCTGAAATGCAATATTTCACAGCGGTTTAGATGGTACACTGATTCTATACACCCCTCAAACTGAACTCTGGACATTGAAGCCAGTTCAACTACATTTGTTCATTGTTCCCCTCTAATCAGGCACTGATTTAGACCTGGGACACCAGGTGGGTGCAATTAATTATCAGGTAGAACAGAAAACCAGCAGGGCCAGGACCTCGTAGGGTCAGATTTTAATACCCCTGCTCTACACTATACTTGCTTGTTTTGTCACATAAACTCAAATTAGGTGAACTGTTTAGAATTTTAGCAACCAGGAAATGGCGGAGCAATTTCTGCATAGTGCATCTTTAATTTAAAGAGTGACTGCCCCTAAAAACCAACTAATCCCTTTGAAAACGGCATATGTGGCATCGATATGAGTCAGAAACCTTTATTTGAGTGTCAAAATTGACTACAAAGTGTAAATAGGAT